AAATAAATAATGATGATGATGTTTTGAAGGTTGACTGGTCAAAGGTAAATGAGGTGAAAATTGGTGCATCATGAATGTATCATGACGAGTGTAAACTGTTGTGATGAATAATGAATTGAAATGGTAAACTGAATACTTACTTGCAAGTGTTTTACATTTCAAGTGCATGTATTAATATCTCAACCTGTCTTTATCACCTTGCTAACTAGTCAAGTAAATGTTTCTCATCTTCATCATATTCTTGTTATATTGACATGAAAGATTTGCTACTTGATATATGAATGAAGATAGAGAGAGAGAGGATAAAGGAAGAGAGGAAAGGTTAACCTGGAAAAGTATTCATCTTCACTTTACGATATGTACATTAAAGTATAACAGTGTTTATTATTTTTTTTTGTTGTTGTTTGTTTGTTGCTCCATGTTGATTCATAAGTAGTAAAGTGAAAACAATGAACAAGAAAAGTACAAAAAAACAAGTAAAAAGCATTTTAACATAATTCACTTTTACCTGTTTGCTTATGATAAATTAGGTTTCACCGTTAGTCTTTACAATGCAAATATACAGCCCACAACTAACATTTAATCAATCAAGCTGGTTTACATTTTGTCAATCAACTCACAAGGCAAGAGGAAGGTAAAGAGATGAAGATGGAAAGATGTTGCCAGTAGTTGCAAGGAAGATGAATGAAAGATGAGAAAAAGGTAAATCTTATTGCAATTTCAATTTCTTATATACTACTTTTGGCTTTTGTTTACTTTTCCCGTTCACCCAAACCTGAAACATTAACTCAACACTTTACTTTGATTTTTAATTACACCTCACAGTAAATGGTGAAAACTGAGTTTTGTTTAATGAAACATCAAGTTAAAGATGAAGATGAAGATAGTAAAGAAAGGAAGGAGAAAAGATAAGAATGAAGATGAAGGAAGATGGATGAAGGTGAGAGAAGAGAGGAAAGTTTATTGAGTAAAGAGGAGATTGAATAATGAGGTTGAATTAAAGTTTTCATTTTCAACTAATAAAAAGGATAAAAATAAATTGCCTTTGACCAGGTTTGCGATAATCAAATAATGAAAGACCTGGGAAGTGAGGGGAGGATGATGATCAAGAGGAGGATAAAGATGATGATTGAGATGAGGATCGAGATGAGGATCGAGATGAAGAGGGAGGTAAAGTGAGGTAGCAAGGGAAGAGTGAGGTGAGTAGGAAGATGAATAAAGTCCTTTTCTTGTTGAGCTTCACTTTTTTGTTAACAATCATAAAGGTTACTTTTTATTGTTAATACAATAGCACGTGCCAGGTGCTGCCCCCTTTTCACGACCTCAACGTGCTGTACGCGTGTGAGGGACTCGAAGATGGGAAAGGGAAGAAGAGAGAGAAGAGAGAAGAAGACAAAAGAGAGAAAAGAAAGTGAATAATAGAATCAGTTTCACTGATTTGCACACTTTTATTCAACCTTGCCAACAACAAAAAAGATCCCAGGTTTGACTTTATCCGTATAAAAAGTAAAGGTTACTGGAATAAATTAACGGATCTTTCTTGCTCTTCATCTTTATCATCTTTACCCTCTACATTCATCATCATCAGTAACATTATCCAGCTCTTCATCCTCATTGATTATAATGTCACCTTTCATCATACTTTTGTTAAATATTTAAACTTCCCTCACTCAACTGATCAACTCAAATCAAGATTAATATCATCAACATGTTTTGCTTTTTTTGTTTTCAAATTAAATTTTATAAACTCAGGTAAATTTTCAAATGTTCATCTGAAACAACACATTTACTCGTTTCTAATCATCCTTTTCCTCATCATCTTCCTGCATCATTATCTTTCTCTTTTATCGACCAATTTCATCCCTTCTCAGCCTTCATCATTTTTCACCTTTAAGTGTAACTTTATACCTTTAAATAGCAACAAAAAAGTTTCAAAAAAAACTCGATCATATTTTGTTGCACTTTATTTCCATAACTGTATCATCATCTTCATCATTCTCATCCTTTTCACCTAAACACAATCAACTTGAAGCATTAATAACAAGGCAAATAACAAGGAATGCAAAAAGACACAAAAAACGTAAATTTTGTTTCACCATTGAGTGGAAACAAAATAATGTTTACTTTTCAAGTAAATTTAAATTGAAACAAATTACATTTACCTTTGCCTAATCATTTAATAAAAGAAGCAAGTTAATTGTTAACAATCAATTTAACTTTAGCAAACAGGGAAAGTTGAAGGCGAAAAAAAATACTTATGAATATAACAATGAAACATCATTGATCTTCATTTACCAATAAAAAGCAATCATCTACCTTGGAATCAATCTTAATTAAGGTTAATTAACCATCACAGGAACATCAGGATGAGCAAATGTTGCTTGTAAAAACAAGACTTTCAAATGAAAAAAGGAAACAAATTTTTTGTCCAAAAAGTGGAGCAAAAAAATTGACGAAAAAAAAAGAAAACATTTCGATGAAAAATTTTCATCAAAAAAGTGGAATGGAAAAGGTAAACTGTTGAGAAAATTTGAACAATCAAATGATAATATTGGGAAGGTTATCCTGGAAAAAGGTTGAAAAGGCAAAAAATCAAAATATTGAAATGAAAAGGGAAAAAAAAGAGTAAAATTGTTTGAAATATTATAACTTATTTCAAGTGTCAAAATTCATGAGTCAATTTTTTGTCATCATTTTACTGTTTAACTGTTTGAGGTTACAGATGATGAGAGGAAAGATAAAGATGAGGCCAATAAACACCAATGATGAGAGAAGCGTTTCTTTTTCCATTTTTTACACTTTTCTTGTTCGATTCTTTGTATGGTTCTTTTTTTTAATATAAATGCCATCAAGTTTCAACTTGGTTCCACTTTGCTGTCAAAAAGATGCAACAAGATGAAGAAAAGATGATTTGATAAGTTGATGAAAAATGTGAGAGAGTAAACTTGATCTTCATCTTTTCCTGTTCAATTGTCCGCCAGTGATGAAGTGAAACAATATTTTTGTTCAATAGTCGACTGATGATCGAGTAATTGGTTCAATAGCAAATTGCTCATCTCATTGCTGAAACTTTTACAACTTTTTTCTTGTCCTTTTTTGTTTCAACCTTTACATTCAATCCCTTCAATGTTGATCAAAATTGATTTTCCCTGTTTTTGTTGTTGTTGTTGCCATCATCAAATTGACTGTCATTTCAAGAGAAACGTTTTGTTTTACATTTAAAGGTAATTTGTTTCAATCACAATTCAATTAGATTGGTTTAAACAGATAAAAAGGTAAATTATTTACAGTTGAAAGTTGAAAGGTAATCAAGGATAAAAAATGCTTTTATACATTTATTATACTTTGTATGAAAAAAAAGGAAGAAGAAGTAAGAAGACGAAAAGGTTAACATGATAAGTTAGATTCAATTTTATCTGTGAACTTGCTTCTCTTTTTCACTCCAATTTTCACATCAACAACTCTCTTCATGATCATCTTCATCATTGCAAATCTTTTTCTCATCATTATTCACATTGTCAGTTGAACAAAAGTAGGGGATTCATGATTGGTGAAAAAAATGAGAAGCAAAAAGTATTTTACTCTTAAGACAACTGCGACTTGTCAGAACAAGTTTCATATGATTAAAGTATCAACATGATTGTTTAAACAATATTAAAATATTCAATGAGAATAAGGTAAATTTGGAAAATTAAATTGTTTCCATTTCAAATGATTTTCAATTCAAATTACGATAAACTTTACTCTTTCATCATGTTAATCATTTCTGTTTACCTTGTTGACAGGTTATGAGTTTACTCTTATTTGGGTTACTTTGCTGCTTCTGTTTGGCCGTGATCGAGACTTGGCTTTAGCCTTTAACTTTATCATCAAGCCAATATTAATCTGGAAATGTTGTTAAAGTAAATTTTATTGAATCTCTGAAATCTGAAAGTAAACTGAAACTTTTTTTTTTGCTATCCAATGGTTGCAATGGTTGAAGGGAGTGAAATAGACAGTATAAACGTCTTTAACGTTTAAATTATTATTACTATTATTATTACAGTTATAAGTAAAAGTAACCGTAAACCAGGTCAGTAAACATTATTAAATACAGTACATTTGAGTGAGGGAATAAAAAGGCACAAGATGAAGATGAAAGTAAATATAAAAGTAGTAGATGAAGAAATGGAAAGAAACTCTGGAAAGATGAGGATGAAGAGAAAGACAAATTAACCATCTGTCTATTTTTGTCTCTCAAAATGGTTTCCATTTTGGTTTACTATTTAACTTTCCTCACCTTTTTACCATCCTCTCATCCTCATCTTCATCCCTCTTTCATCTTTATCTTCCTTCTTCTTCTTCTTCTTCTTCTTCTTCTTCTCCTTTTCCCTCTTTACTGTACATAAATGATTCTGTAATAAGACTTAACTGACTCTATTAGTTTACCTTGTTATTCAATTGAGCTTTTGTTTGCTTCAACTAAACAAATATTCAATGTTTGATTGATTAAATGACAGTTTCTTTTCGCTTCTCATTCCATAATTAATATGCTCATCGTTTGGTGTAATATTGATTACATTGCGTTTTTCAGTAAATTGTTGTTTAATTGGAAACAGTTTATTGTTTAGTTTGTAACATTTGTTTTCATCTTTACTTCAACTTTTGCCTGTTCATTTTTGTGTTGCTTGTTTACCGGTTTCAAATTCAATAATAGCTATTAGTTTTGGATCGAGAATTGATTGAAACATTATAAGGTTAACATGGTCAATCAATAGGCAAGAAAATTAATAATGTCTATCGATTAGAGTAATTTAGATTATCATTTTATTTCCAGTTTCTTTGGCCTATTGTTTTTACTGTGCTTTTACTGTTCAATTTGGTTTTTACTATTTCTTATTGGTCTTTTTATATGGCAACTAAACTTGAAATCTTGTGATTTGAATTCAAAATGAGAGAGTAAATCAAAAAAATAAATGTTTTCAAAGTAAACTTGTCAGCTGAGTGTTTAAACATTTTTCAAGTTAATCAGGTTATATGGTTTATCATCTAGTTGAGTTTAATCAGATGATGATAAAGTTTAATATTATATAAAGTTGAAGGAAAAATCAATCTTTTTCAATGAAAAGGGAAATGCTTTTTGTAGAGTTGTAATTGGAAAACGATCCCCTTAAAAGGCTTAATATATGGCTGACCCCTTTATCTTTACCTCGCATTTTTCACATTAGACTGTGTTTTTTTTTGCTACAATCTGATTTGATAAACAGTTTCAAGTGTTAATTATCCCTTGACATGGGCTTTATTTAATTATGTGTCTCGTCAAATTTTATCTTTTCTGTCAATTTATTCATGGGATCGAAATATTTTTTCTGTGAAAGATCAAGAAAAGGCTGACTTTGATGTTACCAGTACAGCATGTTTTAGCCACATGTTTTATTGTTGCCTTGTATCTCTCAAAGTTAACAGTCTCTTGCTGTTTAATTATGATTTACCTTCTCCAAGTGGTCAAAATTTACTCAGGCTTTTGAACCTGTTTACGATGAATGTAACAATTTGGTTGAAGAAGACCAATTAAGGTAAAGTGGTGATCAACTCATTTAGGTTACTTTGTCAAACTCAAGCTGAATCTGGTCACATGTAAAGACAACAGCACAGCCTTTCGGAACTCATATTGACATCAGCCTGTTCAGTCAATCCTGTTAAGGAAAGTTAAACTGAAAAGCTATTGAAGAAGAAACGTTTGTTTTTACTTGAAAGTCATAAAAATTTCAACCGAGTTAATCTTCAGACACAAAGAGTAAGTGAGGGAAAAATTTTTTGTAAATAACATAATTTTGATCGGCAGCTTAATTCAATGATCTTTCATTTCTTTTCAATCTTTTTCAGTGTAGCTACCGAAAGCTTAAGATGCTCATTTCATGCTGATATGGTGAGGATTTGCACTCAAATTTTCAATAACTTCGTTCTTATCGAGTGATTCCTAGATATCGAGCTGCCGAGTAAATAGTGATAATCATGTTTACAAATTGGCTTCTGCATTCACTCACTTTTCTGAAGATTCACTCATTAAAATTTTTATGGCTGCCAAACAAATAAAAACACAGCCCCTTCTTCAGTGGTTTTTGAGCTAATTTACTCTAATTGTTTACAGAATCGGCTATTATATCAACAACAGCTACTGGACAGATCCCTGTATTGGATAAATTGGACAACACAAACTCCAGAAATTCACAAAGTATCAATCATGGAATCTGATTTCTCGACTTGTTCTCAATTTGGTTAACCCAGACGATAGTGAAAAGTTTGCTCACAATTAGCATAAAAGGCAATATTTTTAATGCAAATTTGGATGCGAAAAGTGATAAAATTGATAACTTTGTGTGTTGGCCCTGTTACTGCGTATGAATTTACTATCCAATGAGACTGGAAGCAAGGCATCAATTGCATCTCTTTTATATCATCTTATATTTATTTGTCAAAGTGCATTATAATATACTTGTGATAATAATACAGAAACACATTAAATCGTGTTTTTGGTTCATATTTATTAGAGAGTTGACCCTTTTCCATTTTTATCTCATTCACATTCATATCATCGTTAACATAAAATGTTGCCCATAAATAATGTCCATTTTCAATGTGCATTCACCTTTTTTTATCCCTTTTTATCCCTTTTCTTAACTATTAAATGGATGTTAACCAGGAAAAAGTAAAAAAGATTGATTGACCAAGTTGTTAATTTAATTGAAGATTTGATTTTTATTTTACTTACAACTAGTAATTGTATTAAAAGACAAAAATAAGTGCCAGTTACCATTAACATTCTGATCAATTATTCAGTGAAAAGAAGAAGAAAAATGTAGATATTCATCTTGTAGAGGCCATTGTTGGTATTGTTGTTGTTGATTATGTTGTCCTCATCTTTTCATCTCATTTCTCTTTCATGTTTATCCACCATCCTTCTTACTTATTCATCATTTCAGATAAATAACCAAATTCACTGTTACCATTACATGACATTACCTTACATGAACATTTTTATTATCAACCACAATCAACCACAATTATCCATTTGCATCCAAATGTCCGCCTTTTCACACCAGAAAAACAGAAAACTTTCATCAACACCTTTCACTTGATCTTCTTGTTTACTCATGTTTATTCTTGATATGGTCATCATCATCATCACCATCACCACCAAAATCACCATAATCATCGTGATGACCAACAAAAAGTTGACCATCATCACCCTGACTATCATCATAACCAAAGCATTTCCTTTACCTCAATCTTTTCAAGTCTTTCTTTTCACACTTCACCTCGTTAGAGTATTACTGATCTCATCATCAACTTTATCATCATCTTTATTATCATCGTCATCCTCTCAATCACCATGCAATGTTTACTCATTCATAAGCTCTTCTTTCATGTCTCTGAATGTATAAAGAGATGATGAGAAGTAGCAAAAGGTAAAAAAAAGAAGAAGAAGAGAGGAAAGGTTGTTGATCAAGTAAAAGAAGCAGCTTAGAATGCTCATTGAGTAAGCTGAAAGTGGCTCTAGAGGGATGAAGAAGAAGGAATGAATGAAGATGAGAAGAAGATGCAAAAGGAAAGAGTAAGAATAAACACCGTTGATGCTCAGGTTAATGTGATTTGAAGGCTTTTCACGTATTTTGGTCTAAACAATCCATCGATAAAAAAAAGTAAAGTAACCCTAAAATTCCTTGAAAGACTCCTTGAAAAGGCATCATCATCAACCACCTTTACCACCACCATCATCATCAGACAACTCATCCTTTCCATCTTCATCATCCATCTCTTTACCTTTATCCTCTCCTCTTACACACACACAAATATATACACACACACAGAGGGAAAAAAACACCTTAACCAGTGTTTATATAATAATTTTATAAAAAGGCAAGAGAAGAAAAAAGAAAGAGAATTGAGAGGATTTATTTTTCTTAACATTTCTTGCATCTTCTTTCATCCCAGGCGACATCATGTTTGTCATAATAATGATGATGATGCTGATCATCTTTCTCATAATCAGGTATCTTCCACTTTCCCCATCTCTTTCTTTTCGCCTCTTATCACCTTTCTCTTTCCCTTGCAACCTTTACTCAGTTTTTATCCAACCATTATTATATTCAACTATTGATTGAGCAATTAAGACTAAACCCACTCTCTCTCATCCTCATCTCATTCCATCTTCTCTCTCTTTCCACTAAAATTACATTCTCATCTTTCCAAAAGCAGGAACCATTTGAGGCAACCCAAAGAGCGTTGTCAAGGTGCAACAAAACGTGAGCTGAATAACGAGACTCTACACTATTAACCTATCCTTTTCTCTCTCACTCATTTTCACCATCATCTTCATCTTCCTTTACCTCTCACCCATTTTTATATCTAGATCCCTTTCATCCATGCCAATCCAAGCCTCCTCCTCATCACTTTTATCCTCTTTTTCTGTCTCTTTTTCATTTCTGTAAACTAAACTTTATTTACTTTCATCATCATCATCATCTTCTTTCTTCTTCTATTAATAGCTTATTCTCTTTCTTCATCATCACCTAACTTTTCCTTTTCACTTTCATCCTGATCCATAGTGAGGGTCATCCAGCAATTGCACCTAAAATCCCACTCTCTACACCCATTCATCTCTTTATCCCATAAGGAAACCTGACTTGAGAAGAGAAAAGTAAAAATTAAAACATTTCACTCATTTTTTCTCTTCTTCTTCTTCTTCTTCTCCTCTCTCTTTTACAAACAAAAGGGAAACCTTGATGATGATGAAGATGATAAATTCTCAGATGATAAGTTCCCTAATTTAAACTACACCGTAGTTCATCATCATCCTCTTTATCATTCTCATCCTTATTCACCTTTTACTTTCCTCATTCAACTTCCTTTTTTTTCTTAAAGAGTATTGACTCAATTGTTTTTGTTTTTACCTCTTTTGTACACTTTAAGTTTCTCCCATCTTCATCATTCTTCCTCATCTTTTAATCCTCATTTATGTGATGATGATAATGATGATGAGAGGTTGACTTTGATTATCTTTGTCAAGAGTAAATATCAATAAAGAGTATAATTTTAATCAGAGTTACAATGCGAAGAGGAAAAGGTGACAAAAAAAAGAGTGAATCTTCATAATCATCTTCAACAAAATAAGGTCAAGATGTTGAAAGATGAGAAATAATGAAAAGTGGAAAGGAAACAAAAAATGATCAAGAAAGGAAAGGGTTACAAATAAAGTAAACTAATTTTGATTATTAAACAACTTTATGTTCGCTTATTTAACCTTCAATTGAAAAGCTAATTGAAAGCGCAACTTGAAGCAGCAAAAAGGTAACAACAAAAAAGGCAGAAAATTACGCCAATTTAATCAAGAGTCAGGCTAAATGAACAATTATCGTTCATTATATCCATGAATGATTAACAATTGAGTTACTTTTAATAATGATAATATCAAAATGTTGATAAGTTGAAAATTGTTTAGATTTTGTTCAAGGATCAAATAACAGTTTCATTGTTGATGCTTGCCTTTAAAATGTTCAAATCAACTGACAAACAGTTAATTAAAATTGAGGAAAAGTAGTCAAGCTTAAATGTTTGGTTTACCTTTGATTGTAAGGACTCAAAGAATGGGAAAAACTCCTGGAAATAGATTTCTTTCAAACTAAACGTTCCGATGTAAAATAATATGAAAAACGCGATGGAATCAACCATTTTTTTATATTCGAACCCGTTTTCGTACAAATGACCTTAAATTTTTTCCATAAACAAACAAATTAATCTCATCATGCTGAGCATGAATATGAAACGGTTTTTTAATGCAACGTTTAGTCGCTGTAATAGCGTGAAAAGAGTGATGAAAATAGAGGAAACAGATTTTACTCGATTATCCATTTTACTTGGATAATCGTGAACACAACCAAAAATTATTTTATCATATACTGTTTCAAATTCTGTATCTCATGATATTTTCACTAGAGACCGAGGTTAGTCGATGTGGTCAGTCAGTCGATGAAATTTTGACTAAGTCGACCCAATAACATGTGACCAAAAAAACAATTCATTTTGTCTTTGAGAGGCTGAGCGAAATCAAAATTTGTTGAATTTGAAAAAAATTTTCAAAGAAAGACTGAAAACAGTGAAATTGGTCGAGTTAGCCGTTCAATAATCAAAGTCGACTCATAGTCAGTCAGTCGCTATAAATTGATTAGTAAGTCGATGCAAGTATCGACTTTACTTCATTATATCCAAAGGTGATCAACTCATTGCTTAACTATTAACACCTTTAATCTTGCACTTCACTATTAATCTGCAACATTTATCTTTCACTTTTTGTTGCACTGATTCCCTTGGAAATGTCAATGATTTTCATTATGCAATTAATCATCAATCAAGTTTACCTGAACCTGAGTAAAGTGTGTTTTTTTTTGCTCGGTGATCCAAATTGCTTCACTTATTTGAATATGCTTACATATAAATCAATAAGTTGATTCATTTTACAGACATTTGTTGTCTGTTACTGTCATTAACTCAATCAATTAGATGCATGTTCATTTAATCTGTGACTTTCTTCAACCTTAAAGATGAATTAAGGTGAGTAACATTGTAAATATTATAATTTTCATGATGAAGTCACAAGTTCAAACACATATGCATATATGGTTATGATGATGATAATAATAATAGTGTAAAAGCAGTGAAACATTAAGTAAATGATTAAAATAATCTGAGCAGAAGGTAAAGACCATTAGGTTGGCACAAGTTGAATATAATTTCCAGTTACAAGTTATCAAGTTCAACTACAATTCATCTATCTAATTGCCTGAAAATTCATCTAAATTTTTGCTCTTAAACATGAGTGAAGTTGCAGTAGAGGAATGAGAAAAAAAAGATGTCTGAATAAGGTTTAAAACAGGCGACAAAATTAGTTTAATACCAAGATTGTTTTCAGGCTGCATTAATGTATCGCATTTAGTGGTGTCTTGTATATTTTTGGTTTTATGGCGATGTTGGTGATAATGACGGTAATCTGCAAGTTTATCAAAATGGAAAGTGGCTTTTCCCATGAAAAAGTCAATTTTTTGTCCATCCAAAAATGAGCAGACAAACTGTCTAAATTTTCAGCACCTAAGCAAAACTGTTCATCTTCTTGATTAGCGTGGTAAACTTTTACCGTTTTGGTGGAGAAGACTTTTGCTTTTTTTGGTTCCTTTTTGGGTCAAAGTCGGACAAAATATCTGGTCTAGTCATCAATTTTTTGTAACAGTATAAAAATAGATCAACAGTTGTTCTTGATTTGCAAGACCTTTTATTTGACCAAAATTAGACCCACACCAACGAACTGAGCCACATCCTTCTTTCCCTTTACTTTTATACACAATTTATGTAAATTAAAAGACCATTTTAGTATGTTGACCTTTAAAGCATAAAGAGATTGGACCAGAGAAGGAAAGAGCCCCCTAACCAGGGTCAACACCAGGATCACTCCAGGGACACACAAAAACCAAGCTTCACCTCTAGATCTTAATCTGCATCACTTATCTTTTCTGTTCCTCCTTTCAAGTATTTTGGTCTTTTCCATATTCCCTTTTCCTTATCAGTTTAATACAAATTGACAATAAAACAAGAAATTGTCTCCAAGTTAACGATAAGTAATTTTTCCAACTTCCTGAGATCACCATCAAAGATAGTTCAGTCGAGGAAAGGAGCAAATTTTTATTGCCATGTTATTATTCTTTAAAATTAACCAGCGACTCAATGATAATCTGAAATGAAGAAAACAAAAGATATTAGCAAAAAAAAGAGTTCAATTGTAATGGCACGAGCTCACTTTATTAATAATACAATGAAGCAAAAAAAAGTCAAATCAAATAATATAACAGTTACCTCAACTACTTCTAACAATAACAGTGAGAATAATAAAGGAAAATAAAAGGTGGAAACAGAAAGAGCTGAACAATTTCCGATATTATCAATATCGATCTTCATCTAAACTGTAAAGAGCGGTAGGAATGATCATCGTGGGAGATGATGAGGAGGAGGAAAAAAAAAGTTTTTCTCTTCAAAAGTTTTCTCCTCTATTGTGGTAACATGATTTGTGCTTTAGGCTAGAAGGAAGCGAGAAGAGGGAGGTAACGAGGAGGATGAAGATGATGGTAAAAGGTAGAACGAGGATGAGGATGAGAAGATTAAAAAGAGAGAATAAGTTGAGGGAAAAAAAATCGTTGCAAAATGGCACTCAAATGTTTATGTGGCTTAAAAAATGTCAAGAGATACCCAAGAGAACACTTTTCTTCTCTCATCTTCTTTTCATCTTTATCCTCATCATAATCATCAACATTATTCTCAAGTTTGTACCAGACAATTACACCGTAAACAACATTTTTTTGGTTACACAAGAAAATACTAAATACAGAATAGCAATAACAATAATAATAGTAATAATAGTTTCTTCGCTTTTTTTCTTGCCTCTTACTTCTTGTACTCACCTTGTACCCTTTAATTGGTAAGTATTGAGCTGATTTAATATCCATTGACAATCAAATTTGGTGTCATTTATTTGATTTCATCTTCTTCTTCTTTGAACACTAATCTTGTTGTACTTTTTGTTACTCTTTTATCCATTGATTCAATTTAACCCAATCATTGGTTTTTAGTTCAATCTGGTTCATATTAATTTTGTTTGTTTGACTCCTGGTTATCACTGGATAGAGAAATGAAGAGAAAAAAGTTAATTTTATTAATAATTTAACAATTGAATCAATTATCTTTGATTACTACTTACCTTGATCATTTGTAGCAAACAAGGTTTTCCAATTAAAAATTGATATAATCTGGTTTTGGATAGAGAGATGAAGAAATCAAAATTAATTATGGTTGACATTGGAATGATGAAGAAAGTTAATTGAAGTTATTGATAAGCAAATAAATAGTCAATTATTGTTTGCTGTTGAAGCACACTTTTAAATTGTAATGATAAATATCAAGTAAGATTGCATGATTATTATGCAAACAACATTAATTTGATGAATGTTAAGGTTATCAGTTTAAATTGAGTTAAATTGGTGGCCGTTTTAAAAAGAAACTGTTAACGCAAAATGACAGTCAGAGAAGTTACTTTTTGAGTAAAGTAAATTCGCGTCAATTATACTTGTCCTGTTGATCAAAATTGGAGTAAATAGATGTTTCAATGAAACTCACAAACTGGATCCAAGGGAAAGCAAAAGATCAAGATTGAAATCCTTTTAGCCAATTATGCGGTTAAAATGATCCAATTGAAGATAAAGGGATGTCAGGGGAGATCCTGGGAGAGGTAAAGAGAGACATATATTGTGATGAAAATGAGTTGAAAAACGGAGATGTGAGTTTTGAGAAGGGGGAATAAATGAGCAAGAACAATAAACAATTTCATGATGATTTGTGGGTAAGTGTTTTGGTTCCTTTTCATTTCATACTTTTTCCTGTCTTCCTAAATTTGTGCGGTAAAACAGAAAAACAGAAAAGAAAATTTCTCATCTTTTCCTTTGTCTCTGCATCTTCTAAATATTTCCCTCAAATCTCTCTCCCACATACACTAACATTTACAGTTGTCCACCATTCAATGAATGAAAATTGATTCTTGACCATTCAAATATAACGATTGCACTTTTTTTTCTTAAAATCATCATTGACTTACTTTTCACTAATTAGTTGCAAGAAACTGCATTAGGTGATAAAGACACTGCCATCTAAATTTTAAAGGTTTTTTTGAAATTTGACGTCTTTGGAGCCATTGAAAAATGTGCGACAGCCACATGTGCAGTCTCTTTTTTTGTGTTATTGAAGTTTGAATGCAAAGATAATAGTTATTCACGGTAAAACAAAGAGACCTAAGTTGATAAAGGTCAACGGGATACTTTTACGCCTACAAAACCCAAGAAATCACTTAACTGCAAAATTTTTTTCCAGGTTTTTTGCCCCTTTCATCTGGTAAAATCTATGTACACATATATACAATATAAGTAAATGTATCAAATTTTTGCGTCAAGATTGTGGCCAAACTGAGCGGGCTCTAAGAAAAAAAATACACAGTATGATAGTTCTGATTCAACTACAACGACGAAAAATAGGAAACCTAACCTCAGAATTCAGATCTGGGAAATTCATGAAAATAGAGGTTGGGGAAAAATGTGAAATCCGTATTCAATAACATTGAGAGAGATGGGGAAAAACTGTTTTGTTATTCAGGTTTATGGTTCATTGTTAGACCAGGATTTCATGTAAAACTTTTGTTTTTTGAGTAATGAGTTAGGTGTAGAGAGGTGAACTGCTTTTTTCCACCACTTTTTTTGCCCGTCTTTTCACGTATTTTTACCTTATTGTCCACCACCCAATCTGACACATCCGCCGCATTCACCAAATCAATCAAATCATCTGCATCTTCTACATCTTTCTCATCATCAAATCTCTCCCCCACCCCACACACACACAAACAAATATGCGGAGGAGGGTGAGTTAAAGATTGACTCTCTCTAAACCAAATTAATGTAAATACTTTTTGACAAAAAAAAAACAGTTTCACTCGGATCAAAGTCTCCGCTAACCTTGAAGTTCAAGCTTCACCTTTTTAGGAAAGCCTTCAGGTTCAGCTTATCTTTACCTGGTCAACTCTGTCAGCCCTCACTTGTAACACTGTTTATTTGATCAAATTTGATTCAATATCCTCATCATCTTCATCCTTCATCCTCCAATTCTCTTGTGTGTCTTTGTGGCTTTGTCTTCCAGTGTTCACTTCATATCTTTTTTTGGCTCTTCTTGTTGCTCTTCTTCACAAACTTTTTTTTTCTCTCCATTCTATTTGCTCTTCCATTTCCTACAATCTACCGTGTCTAACAACAATCAAATCAAATCAAATCAAAGGTGACACCTTCTTTCTCTTCCTTTTCTCCTTCTTTTTGGCATTTTTTTTCCTCCTCTCCTTTTGCTGCCTTGAAAACAAAAACCCGGAGGAGATGCTACTTCTATTTAGAAACAATGTCAAAACACTGAACATTAGTATTTCTTTAACATTGTTCATTTCATTTTGCTTTTACCATACATTTAGATACTGTATATGAGTGTGTCTGTACAACAATTCAACTTGACCTTAACTAATATATATATATACATTTATTTATTTATAACTGATCACAGAGTCCAACTCAATTGACATAACACAATTGAATAAAAGTGTAGAGACTGAAACCAACTCCGTATTTCTTCTTATTGTGTAGCCTTTTTATTGCTATTTCTGTTTCTTATTTTGTGTCTTAAACCCCCTGAAGGGATAAAACAACTTTTCCTTGTCTTATATTTATATATAAATATAAATGTCATAAGTCTTTAGATATATCGAACCTCATCATATGAAAGTAAATAATATTACGATGATAACTAATAATGAAATGCTTGCTTCTAAATTGATGAGAGAACCACACATATACTCATTATATACAGTATATAAATATATAGCAAAAGCAAATGTTAACATTAGCTGATGTAACATCTTTCAAGATTGTTCAATAATTGATGTTTCAACTTGAAAAGTGAATCTGGCCAGAAAATCTCAATCATGGTAGTTCAGGTTTCATTTTATCAAAAAGACATTGATACAACTGCTGAGGTTCATCTGTATCCAAACTGAAATGACAAACTGATAAGAAAAAAAGAGACGTAAAGAAAACAAGAAAAAAATGATTAAAGTAAAAGTTGCAATACATTAAAAAGTAAGTGGAAAAGTCGTTCAACATTTTCATACCTCATGACATTTGACTTTTGCCATTTTGTCGATTAAATTCCTTGTTTTGTTCCTGGTTTCAGAATTTTTCTAAGAGAGAAAACAAAATTAATTGATGGTTATAGTTGCTGTGAGTCATTGAATCTGTCTTTTAACTTCTTAATCATGCTCATTTGATAAACCAGGTTGCAGACAAATGAGCAAGATAAGAGACTTCAGAAGGGATAACTTTAAAGAGTATGAAGAGAGAGAGAGAACGATGATTGAACACAGAAATGGAGAATCAACTTTTATATCTACTCTGAATCTAACAGTAATAATAAAATAACATATTAGTAACAGTAGCTGTGTTAATGGGTGATCGTAACAATAAAAACAATAATACGTATAATAGTAGAAATAATTATTATAACCAAACTCGATTTAACAGCAATATCGCACAATTTAAATTAGTAAAGTTGTTAATCAAAAAGAGTGATTAAAGGGATTCATAAATGCATTTCGTGAATTATTTTTCCCTCTCTTACATTACACATACAAATATACACTCTTAAAATTAGACTTGATTGTGTATATGAAATTAAAACTCACTCTAATCTTGGATTAATTTTGTAATTTGTGCGATTACGGTGCAAAGTGAGTTTGTTAATTGCCCAGTGAAACTTCAACAACCAAAAACCAATTTCCAAAGAATGTTTGTCTACAAGGCGAAAAAATAGCAAAACAAAACAATAATTAATTAATCAGACATTTAGTATAATCAAGTATGGCTGCAATGAGTTTCATAGTTGAAAACAGGGTAAGGTTAATATCTTACCGGTTGAGAGTTGTTTATTTCCGTCAAACTTGATGTCTGGCAGGCTACAGGAGCAAAAAAGAGATGACGATGAAAAGTAAAGAGGCGAAAGATGAAAGGGAGGGAAATAGGTGAAATGTGTCTGGTTCACATCAGGAAACTGAAACCAAAAAATCGTACCAGTTTTTATGATTAACATCATCATCAGTGAAGACCAATTACAGGAAACCAACAATTTTCATTGGACCTTTCTACCTTACCTTGTACCGGTGAATGTCTATCTTCACTTATTCACCTCCGTCAAAACCACGCTAAACTTGTTTCTCTATCCACTCCTACTGTGTCGATCCATCAGCCTGCAATCAATGATCCATGACTCTTTCTCTTCCTCTTTCTTTCTCCTCACATTTCACATCTATCCATCAACATAATAGCATACCACCGGCACACATGAAAACCTGTAAACACTACCAAAGTGGAAACAAGCGTTTCTTTCAACCATCTTTTCTGTTTCACTGTACACCGATTGGCTATTCACTTGACCACTGTAAAAAAGAGCCTTTTGTTTTTCATCATATCACCAACGATCCGTTTTCACATTTCATTCTCATCTTCTTTTTCTCCTTCTTTCTTTTTGTATTTTCCTTAGCCTTTTTTTCCTTTGGCTTTCAACATGAACGTCAATTGTGGATAAATTGAATCAATTTGTTTCCTTGTTTAAAGGCTACTCAATTTTATCTTTATCCATCTCATCCGTCAGTCTGTCGACAGGAATAGTTTCACTGTTAGAGAGTGAAGAAAGAAAGTGAAGGATAAACTGCTGGAAAAGATTGAGAAACAAAACATTAACATAACATTTACAAGTGTACACCAATGCATGTAAGTTATTTTTGAATAGCATTTCAATTTGGACATTCAATGAATGAAAATTGATTCTCTACTATTTAACCATTCAAATATAACGATTGCACTTTTTTTTCTTAAAATCATCATTGACTTACTTTTCACTAATTAGTTGCAAGAAACTGCATTAGGTGATAAAGACACTGCCATCTAAATTTTAGAGTTTTTTTGAAATTTGACATCTTTTGAAGCCATTGAAAAATGTGCGACAGCCACATGTGTAGTCTTTTTTTGTGTTATTGAAGTTTGAAAGCAGCGAGAATAGTTATTCACGGTAAAACAAAGAGACCTAAATTGATAAAGGTCAACGGGATACTTTTACGCCTCCAAAACCCAACAAAATCACTTAACTGAAAAAATTTTTCCAGGTTTTTTGCTCCTTTCGTCTGGTAAAAATATAAGATAATTAATTTAAAGGCATTTTAACCATGAATAGATTGTTTGAACTGGTTGAACTTACTTTACTTTGATATAAGCATCTTAGGAATTGGTTTTGATTGAATGTTGTACACCTTTTTCACATTGATTCATTTTGTGTTTCCTTAGCCAATGTTTTTGTCTACTCTCATCACCATCATTTTGATCATTATCTTAATCATCATGAGCCCCAGAATCAGCAAAATGATCATAGTTGCAGTTGTAGAAATAGCAATAGAATCAGCAACAACAGTCATGGTAGCATCAGTTAATTGCTTTTCACCTTTTCTGTTTTTCCTGTTTTGCCATTTATCCTCTCTATCTAAATCATTTCCATCTTTCCACCTCTTTCTTTCTCTTCTTACATCATCTTTCATCCCTTTCTTTGTCATCTTCTGTTTACTGTATTACCTTGCCTTGGAAACATTCCAAAAGAACTCTTGGCCACTTATTCATCCAGGAAAGCTTATTACACAGTAAGCTAGGTAATTTTGGCATCCATCTTCTTCTTCTTCTTCTTTTAACTATCACCATCATCATCATTATCATCATCCTTATCATCGTTTTCTTCTTTGACTGGTTCTTTTCTTTTTCCTCCTGTTTTCTTGATTTTCCTTTTTCCTCCTCATGTCTTTTTTCTTTTTTTGATCTCGGATGTTGTTTCACCTTTACTTTTTTCCTTATCTCACTTGTCACCTTTTTTTCATCTGTTATTGTCAGCAGCGTTATTAGAAAAACTTTGTTCTTGTTCTTGATTCCTTTTATAATCAATGACATAATATCAATTTTAGTAATACTGTTCACTCAGTTTGCAATGATGAGATGGGCTTGTAGTAATTTCATCATCTTGACATTCAAAATATTCACATAATAATGCCCATGGTAACTCAAATAAACCTGGATATAACATTGGCATCCTTTTATATACTGTACGTGAAGTGGGTTTTCATCCAATTATAATGTCTACTCCTTCATGGCTGAAGACTGAAAAAAAAGAAAGAAAAAAAAAGTTGTAGACGTAGAAAAGGTAACACAAATAATAATGAGGACACTTTCATTGCTCCAGTATTAAATGCTTATTTAAGCCTTATTTAAGTTAAATACAGTTAGCAGAAAGAGAGAGAGAGAGAGGAAAAAGATTCATCTTTTTTTGCCTTTTCATTGGTCACAAGAGATGCTTCAATCCACCCAAGTCACTTAATTTCAGCAAACATATTTTTAACACTGCGGTCCTCCTCTTAATTGTCTCTTAACTTGCTCTTTTGTTATGATGCTTTCTTTGGTGGTGATGATGATGATGATAGTATTCACGTGATTACATGTTATTTTTATATATATATATTATATATAAATATAATTCTTGAAAAAGATCTTAAGTGTCCAATGGTTGGATTAACATTACGCTTAGTTTCATTCAAGCCATGGATGATGATCCGTGCTAGATGATCATATAACAGTCCAAGCGTATAAGCAAGAGGAAAGAATGAGTAAAAGAAAAGGAAAAAGAAAAATTAGAAACAATCTTTTTTTCTGAGTGTTTGATAATACTTTCTGCACGGGTCCGAGTAAGGATCTTGTGGTTAGTTTCAAGTTAACACGGAAAAGTAGTTGCCTTGAAAAGTAAGAGTTATTCTCGAGAATAAATTTGTAATAAAAAAATATAAGTACGTTTTGTTTCAGTATCGTGTAGATGAAGATGACTTCTTTTGAAATAAAGAAGGAAAAAGTCCCAAATAAGGATGACAAGTTATTTATGTGAGCAAGTTAACTGTGCATAAAGGGAAGAAAAGAAAAGAAAAAGAAGATACATTTTAAAGTTAAAATTTTTTTTTGCTCTCTTCTACCAAAATCAAATGAAAGAAGTAAGGAGGTTGGGATGAAAATGATGAAAAGGGATGAGTTAAATGGCAATTAAATATAGGTAGTAGGGGTGTAAGAGAAAAGGAAAAGAGAGATAAAATGAGCAAGAAAAAGAATACAAACAAGAAATGAAAATAAACCACGGCATTAATAGAGAGTGAGAGAGAGAAGGAAAGAGGAAAATGAAAGAGAGAGGTAAAAGTGAGGAAAAGAGAGTGAAAATTGTGAGTAAAAAAAGGAGAGAAAAAGAGGGAGAAAAAGGAAAAGAGAGAGAATGAAGTGAGTTAGAAGAAAAGGTGAATACAATGAGAAAAGTAAACCAAAATCAGAGTATTATCCAAAATGATTACATGATTTACGGAAGAGAAGAGAGGAAGAATGAAACAAGAATCACCTCCTACTATTTTATAGGGTTTTCTTTCAAAATGATACCTGTAAGTCTGTACAACTGATGATGATACTGTCAATGATGAAGATGATAACGGGTAAGGAGAGAGAGAGGTAGAGAGAGAGAGAGAAAGGGAGTAGAAAGAAATAGAAACACAGAGAGGTAACGAGATGTGTAGTAACTTTGATGATGATGATGATGATGACGATTATTATTATTTACCCCCTGCTTTGATAACGTTAAAGAGAGCTCAAAGCTTAGAGGAGAAAATGAACAATGGTTGTCATTTTCAGGCAACTAACTGTGGGGTTTAATTCATTTGTTTTCCACCAAATTATAACTCATTTAGTCTTTTGTAGCTTTTGATTGTACGAGTTGATAGTCTTGATTTGTTGGCTTTCCTTTCCTCCCTCTTTAGCTCCTTTCGTTTACTTTCCTAAAAGAGAAAAAAGAGAAAAAGAGAAAGTGAATGAGTGAATTAGTGAGTAAGTGAGAATCACAAGATTCTCTTTTTTACTTCTTCCTCTCAAATTGTCACAAATACATTTTCTGAACCAGATATAAAGAATGTGATAATAAGGGGAGGGCGGAAAAAGAGCTACTTTTGTCATTGAAAATGAACGTGTTATTTTCAGATGGTAAAGATTATTCATAGAATGAATGGAAGTAAAAAAGAGCAGTCAAATGGAATTACAAGGTAACAAAGTGTAGGAGAATAGAGGGAAGAAGAAGAAGAAAGGGAAAGATATGATGATAACTTTGATTACCTTTTTTTTCAAAAGAAGTAAATCCTCCTCACAAAATCAAACATTAGAACCATCTTTATAGTTGATAAAACCAGAATAAAAAGATTTGATTTGTATAACAAGATTTGATATTGATGATGATTCCGTCAATCTTTTTTTACCTGAACTTTCTCCTTGTTATTCTGAATACACGACGAATGAATAAGCAGGCAAATCCAATCAAATTACATGGATCAATAAAAAAACACGGAAAAAAGGTATTAATTTCAATATAATGTAAAAAATCACACAAACCTTGTTTAACATGTTAACGCGTTACTGAAAAGGGAAAAATATAAAAGAGGTAAACAAGAAAAGTAAAAACATACCAACAGAAAGATTATCTTTCAATAGGAAGCTTCTTTTAATCCAAAAAAAGACATAAACCAGTAAACAGGTCGGAAGGATTTAAGTGATTTACAACATCCGCTTTAATCAAAAACAATCATGGATTGGGCCAAGTTAATTGTTATCCATTAATTGAAAGAAAAGCAAAATAAAAATAACAACAGTCCGATAATCTTTAGATTTGAAATTTAACGGTTACAATGGTGCTTATAATAAAAGATGGCAGCACAAAGGAAAAAGATTAATGATTGATTAAATCAATTTGATTTAGTGATTCAGTAATTTAATGGAAAATAATTTATTCATAAGAAAGGAACTTTTAAAAACCTGTTAATCTGAATTTAACGAATTTAATCAGATTTTGGTTGAATTTAATAGTCTTACCTTTAATGTTATTTCACCGATAATACGATAATGCAGTTAGTGACTCCAATCTAAACCGGTAATCGTTTGATTTTTCAATCATTTTCCAATATTAAATCATTAATTTATTGGATGATTAAGATTTTAAAATTTCATCCTTTGATTTAATTAATAGATTATAATATTAATCATGTAAACACTCTCTTTTGTAAATCGCGGTTGACTGCGTTTTCAATGGGAAGCACCAGATGGGTCAGTTTTTTAGCCAATCCGATTGTGCAATTTTGTAATTGATAATTTTCATTTAATTTTACATTTGTTTCATTCTAGTGTTTCACGATATCCAAAAAAGATATCAATTGAAAGAAAAGATATTGCAAGAGCAAATATCGATATTATTGATAATATTTTTATTGAAAAATATTGAAAAAATATTGAAATATATTGAAAATATTTTAATTTGGTGTAAACATTTGGAGATTGAATAATTTTTAATTGACTGTATTGCTATGAAAAGTTATTTTTTTGGCAAATATTGATGATATTTGAAGTAAGGATTCAGTTAATGATTCTAGAAACGACAAAATTACAGCGTTTTTAGGCTTCGTTTTGGCTGAAGATTGACCAAAATGTAAACTAAGCAGATTTTTCAATATCGATAATATTGCTGGAAATATCGATAAAATATCGAAGCAAAAATATCGATAATATTAATTGAAAAAAAGATATTGGTGAAACACTATTTCATTCACCTTTGATTTCATCGAGTTGTACAAATTGTTTGTATTGTGTTTCCGTGATTTGTTTAATTTCAATTAACTGTTTACATGATTCTCCTTTAATTTGCTTGATTAAGTGTTTGTTTAATGTTGCATGATGCAACCTTTAACACATTTCGTTTACCAAAAATATTAGTCACTTTGTCCCTTTCTGTCTATCTGTCTCTCTCTTTCCCTCTCTTTCAATTGTTAACTTGAACAACGTCTTTTTTCTATTCTTGTGTAATTTTTTTCCCTTCTAAACTCTTTTATAGCTTCCATAATCTTGTGTGTTGCCTGTTTAACCAAAAGGTGAAAAAAGTGAACGTTAATGTTCATAGTTAACATAATGGGTTTCACCTTTGGTCCAATAAAATAGTGATCTTGAGTTTTTCCTTTTATCGTTCAAATGATGTCTATGAGTAAGAGGAGGGAGCAGAAGAAAGTGAACGTTTTTCCTTGGTTCTCATTCTTTTGGTACAATATTATTAAAGAGTCTCATGAAAAATTGTTGACCTTTACAATACAGTGATGTGCCAGATAATGGGAATAGGTGGAAATAGCTTATTTGCACTATTCGTCGGGCACTCGAATCTATGATTATCAATCTTGCTTAATATATTGATTTCGTCTAAAATTATCATTGCTATCTGCTTTCTCGAGTTTTTTGATTGATATTTCACGAAAGAAAATCAAATTAGATTAATTAATAACTGGAAAAATCTAAATAAAATTTGGTCAAATCCAAATCAATTTTAACTCTTTTTCAATAGGGACCGTTGAAAAAAATTATTCCCATTATCTGGCATTCCCATTATCTGGCACATCACTGTAATACCTTTAATATTCTTTCCTCTCATTCTATTTTTTTTCAAATACCTGTAAGATACTAGGATGGAGGAGAAAATAAATGACCAAAAAAGTGGAATGAAAATGGTAGCTACCTTGTTTTGTTCATTGTGCTCATATCGTCATTTTTATCCTAACCTGATTTTTATCTCATTTTGACTGTTTTTTTCCTCGTTTTCTTTACAGATTGAACCACATCTCTGTTATGATTAAGGATGAAATGGCAAGGAAAAAGAAATGGAAAACGGTCAATCTGTAAAAGAAAAAAGGTTACAATAAACAAAGATAGTGGAGACAATTACAGGAGAACATGGATGAAATTATTGTTTGTTGGCCCAGTGTAAAGTGAAGTATTATTAGGAAAAAAAAGTGATGATAAAAAACAGGAAGACAGAAGATGAAGAACAAGAAGTCATCAGTAACGTTATCAACCATTACCTGAAACATCATTTTTCTTTCTCCCTTCAACATTTTTGCGCTGCTAAACTACTTTTACTTCTTTTTCTCTCTTCCTTTCCCAGTTATTGCATTTTGACTCTACTCTTTCTCCTGTTTCTGTTTCATCCTGATGTTCACTTGAATCTTGATAGATAGAAAAGGTAATGATGTAGTTACCTGGGGATGATAACTATAATAATGTTAATAATAATATTAGCTATAATAATAGTGAACCTTAAAGGCTTATGTGACAAGTGACAGTGAAACTTGATACTATTATTAACCTGAGAAAGATTCTTGTAGTCAAATTATCCATTTGACCATTGATTTTGTTTCTTTCAAGATAACCTGCTATTTGTTTACTCCTGGATGAATGTTAACTTTTCATGGCGAAAGAAGAAAAAAAAGAACAAAACGGTAAATGCTGATCAAAAGAATTAATCTTCAAATTCCCCTGAGGGTGATGATAGGGGATAAAAGATAGAGAAAAAGAAGAGTAATACTCTCCTGATAAGATGAATGAAATTGATAGAAAAAAGTAAAACAGACAAGAAGAAAAGATGAGGAAATAGAAAAGTAGAATGAAAAGTGAAAAAGTCAAGTGTTCATCCAACAATGATCAATGACACCGACTTGCAATAAAACTTCATGTATCAATATCAATCTGATTTGATGCGTTAAATTGAGAGAGTGTGAGTTCATTCAGAAGTTAAAATAAAGTGAAAAAAAAGTACGGAGAAAGATTAACTTCAACTGTCAGGTTAATCAAAGTAAAAAAACTGTATTTTCTATTAAGCTTTAAACACTTGGTTAAGTATTTAATAAATTAATCTCATTTTTATCTTTACCTTTAGAATTGTCATTGTTATGATTCGTTTTGTCCACTCAAGTACGTTTCCAGTGAGTCAATTTTTAATTACATTGGTATGTACATTGAATTTTGTTTATTACTTATTCGTATCATCTTCAATGATGTTTTTAAGTGTTTATCTAATGCTAATTTTTTTTTATTTACAATTTATTTTCTACTGTCATAGCCAGATGAAAGTTACTTTTTGGAAAGGCAATGAAATGAATCATTCATTCACAAAGTTTCAAAATCATTAACTATACCTCATCATCATAATCATCATCATTATGGTAATGATTTATGATTAACGAGCTTTAACGATGTATCAAGAAATGGAGATCAACTTTTGAATTGAGTGTGTATAAAATTGACCCAAGGATGGAAAGGAGATTAAAAGCAACAACCAAAAAGAGGAAAGAGCAAGAGCAAGTGAAAAAAATGTCTACAGTTAAAGTAAAGTGTGAATAGTTTTTCTTGGTAATAACTACAGAAAAGGAAAGGTCTGCAAATTTGTAAAGCTTACGATTGACATGATATGAGAGAAGCAGCACAAAAAGTGAGCAAAGGAGCAAAGAAACCAATTGGAAAAGGAGTCGAATGGAAAAAAAAGCAATGAATGAAGAGAAAAGATTTCTACTTTTTCATGAGGATGATTCAAGGAAGAAGCAAAAAGAACAACTTGAAGAAAAAGAACTGATGACAGAGTAAAAAAGAGCAAGGAGCAGAAAAAGATGATAATGATGATGATGCTGATGATGATGATGAAGTCAAGAAAGAAATCAAAGGAAAGAAGGAAAAGAGAATGAAAGGAGAAAAGATAGAGAAGGAAGGAAAAGTAAAGGAGAAGAAAAGAGCAAAAGACTGAAAGTTATCAATAGGATTTTGATTTGTTATTGAATAAAACATCGTATTGAGCCTGTTGAAAAGAGAAGTAAAAGAAAGTGAATCGTTCTTTTGCTCATCTCTTTATAATGCTTATATAAAATTATAGTTTTATACACATAAACAGACAGTTACAAATACACTTACAAGTCAATATCTCTCTCCCTCTTTGACTGTGTGTGTGTGCCTGTGTCTTCACTGCATGTCCGTGTAAAAGTGTGTATAACATCAACAACTAGAAGAATGATTACCTCTTCTTCATCAGCATGAAAATTTCCATTGGATCATCTCCATACATCATTTGCCTCATTATATTCAATCTTCCTGTAACCAATTTATCCAACTTTGTAGTTTTACAAGTTTCATACATTCAATCCAACCAACAAAAACATCAACAAGAAGAGCAACATCAATATCAACCAAGACTAACACACGAAGGACAAAGAATAAGCTGAATAAAAATGGAAAAAGGATGGAAATGCGAAGAACAAGAACTAAAGAAATAATAATAATCATAGCAATAATGATAATGATAATCATAATAAAAAAACAAGTTACATCGAAAGAATGAAAAAAAAGCAAAAGGAAAAAGAGGAAAAGAATAAGAAGAGCAACTTATGAAAAGTTATTCAGTCAAGTGTGGAGTGAGTCGGAAGTTTGGTGATTTATAACAACAAGGGTCGATAGAAGGAGGATGATTAGAGTTGGATGAATCTAAATGAAGAAAATAAAAAGATGGCGTCGAAAATAATTCAAAGTGAATCAGTGGAAAGTGATTTAAATCAATAAATGAATTACTTTACAAAATGTTCATCCATAAACGTGATACGTTCAAAGCAAGAGACGAATAGTGAAAGTAAAGAATGAAAAGAGCAAAAAGGGAGAAACAATCTGAATCATCATGAAATGAATGGAAAAAAATAAGATGCTCCTTAATTGTAAAAATGTCTCAGTTATAAATGAACTGAATAAAGTAAATTACATGAAATTGGAAAGGAGAGAAAATTTTGAACCTTTCTTTTAAACTGGCGTAATTTAATCAATCTGATTAATTGTGCACAACTTTGATGACTGGCGTAATTCATTTGTGGCTCACTTGTTTTCATCAACCAACCTTAATCAAAATTATGTTTATATACAAACGATGATACCGACAATAATAACAATAATAATAATTATGATAATCTAAATGATTAAATAGACAGCAAGAGACAAAAAATGGTAAACTTAACATTGACAAACTTGAATGATGAGCTACAGTTGAATGTTAAACAATATGAATACGCATTAGTTGATTAATCAATTTATATTGAATGGATAACAATAATAAGTAATGATAAAAAGTAATCACAATCATTAAAAATGGTTTGATTTATGTAACAATTTGTGAATGTTTCAAACAAAATATGCATTTACCCAAAGATTATCAATAATATTACAAATTGAGAAAATACTTTCTTCTTACAATCAATATCGATCTCAGCTTGCATTTAATTTTGATTTAATTTCACTTCTCTTATTAACTAATCAACTAAACCTGGATAACTGGAGCAATTGGAGGGAAAAGGTTCAACTTTAGGTGAAAAGAAAATTGAGAAAATTTTTGCCATGATTATTGTTATTCATATCATTATGATTATTGTTATTTTCAAGTTGATCATTTATTTGAATGAGGAAGCTGATGATGATTTTTCAGTTCTCCTTGGTTTCCGTTTTAACATCCCGTTGATCATTTGATGTTGCCTTAAAAAAGAGTCTTGATGATGATGATAACAACTTTTCTATTTATTTCCATTCAAGATTAATTCTATTAACTAATAACATTAAAGCTGTAATAGTTATTGGATGGACAATTTATATTGTCAATTGATTCATTGTGATAACCTTCACTGGAAACCATTTTTAGGATCATCTTTTTATTTATCAACTACAAAGTTTAACCAATTAACTTTGATTGATATCTTTTCATTAATGCTGTTGTTGAAGATGATAATGATAATGATGATGATGATGTTCATTGGGAAAAGATTCAATGAAAGAGCAACACAAAATGTTGATGATTGATTGAAGACTGAGAAGATTATAGTTTCTTTATCAGTGAAATGATGATGATTTAGACTTGATTCATTCACATCTTAAGTGAATCAAAGTTAAACACAAGGTAAGATGAAGAATCATTTCCCTGGTTAGTCTCTGGATTTCCGTTTCTGGTGAAACAAAAATTGGAAACAAACTCAGTGCAATTCAAGATGATGATGATGATGATGATTGTGATATAAATTATCTTTTACAAGATACATCAGATTAATAATAATAATAACTGGTTTTGGGTTGAAAAAGTAAAGATTGAGAATCAAGAATTATCTATTTGATCATCAGAGGTATAACATACTTTTTTTTATTTAATCATCACCATAATCATTATTATTATTATTATCATCATCTAAATGATTGTATTTGTTATTAAAACAAATTATCTATCCTATTATTATATTGTCATTACCTTTTGTTACTTCAACATTTTTCATGTTAGTTTCTTAGTTTTTGTTTCATCCTTCATCTTTCACCTGATTTTTTGGTTTACTTTATTTCATCTTTCATCAAAGATATATAATTAAATCATCTTTCATTGTCATCTTTGTTATTATTATTGATATACACGATTATGTTGAATATATTGTTATTGGTAGATGATAATAGCTTGACTTGTGTGTCCATTTGATTAAATAACAATGAGAAATGTTTTCATGTTAACATTGAACAGGGAATTGTTAACTTGTATTAAACAAGATTAAGGTTTAATTTAGTTTAGGTGATGATCTCAATTGGCATCAAAATTTAAATTGATGATGCTTTTTCAAGATGAACAGGGAACCAAGATTAGGATAAATTGTCTTTCTTTTCTTTCTTTTCTCTTCTCTTCTTCTCTTCTTCTCTTCTCTTCTCTCTCTTCCCACGGTTACTCTGTTTAATATGTAATCATTTATCCAGTAAGACCTGGACTAACAATTTATCTTAATTGATGTGATTTAATTGTGATACTAAATTTAATGATCCATGGTATATATGGTTAAATACATTTCATCTTTGTCATCCATTTCAATCTAATCAACTCACTAATCAAATTAGTTGGTAACATTCAAAATGTTGAGCCATTTTTCCCTTTAATAACGTCATCATCATCATCATCATCATCATGAAAATTGCAATTGATATTCATTTTTATTCATTTTGTACTTTAACTCAACGATCGATACTTGGACAGTAGAGATGAACATGAAAATGTCCTGAACCAAGATGAAGGTATAAACAAGCTCTTAACAAGAGGAGTAACCGGGTGGGACAATTCAGGGAAAAGAGGAAGATGAAGATGGGAGGAAAAGAAGGAGGAGAAAAGATGAAAGTAAAAGTAATCTTGAGATTGTTCAGCCTAGTTGGAACGGAGCGAGAGATGAACATGAAAAGGAGATAGATGAACCGAGGAAAAGAAGAAGATGAACAAGAAGAAAGGAGAGAAAGTATAATGTAAAATAAATTATCATGAGAGAGATGAAGATGATGATGTAAAGGAAGAGAAACGGTGAACATTAAACATGTCGACAGAAGAAAAAGAAAGTAAAAAGAAAAGTGAAAAGTCAAGAATCAGATTCCAATGGCCATTTGGTTTGCCCAGTTTTGTTCAATATTTTTGTTTGCCTTAACTCTATTAACTTGATTCATTAAACGTAAACAAGTAATACTGAAATAAACAAAAATATTGTTATTAGATGATAAAAAAAACAAGAGTAAAACTAAACTATTAAATAAAGGCCAATCAATTTTGATGTTGCATTTGAAATAATGGTCAATGGATGATGCGTTTACATCAATCAAATCATCCATAAAAGGCTGGCTGAGGAAAGAGGAAAGATCCTGGGATGATGGCGAAAAGAGGTAACATGAAGAAGATGAAGTAAAGAGAAACTTTTTTTTTCTTAGTTAACTGAAAAAAAAGAGCAAAGAATAAGAACAAATAAAAATGCAAAGGAAAACAATAAAGATGATGAATAAAAGATGGAAGATGAAAGATGAAAGGCGGGACATTTTTCGATATAAGATATTGTTAATATAGTGAAGATGAAGATGATGAAGATAAAGTTGTGTTATGGCAACATTTTTGCCTCTATTATATAAAGTAATCCTGGAGATGAGAAGAAGCAAAAAATTATTGTTGATGAAGATGAAAAATAATGGGATAAGAGGATGCGTATGAAAGAGAAAGTAAAAGTTAAAGATGAGTTAAAAAGAAGAGGAAATAAAAAGTGAATCAAGATGATTGAGGAAAAGATGAAGATGAAGAAAGGAGGAGGAAAAAGTAAAAGGCCAATGTAACATTCAGGTTACAGCTAGTTGAAACGGAGTAAACTCGAGCAGTGAAATGGACCGATGGTGATGGGTGGGTTGAATGGGAAGGAAGATGATGATTGCTTGAAGGAGGAGATGATCAAGATGGGACATTTAAGAAGACAAGTGAAAGAGATAAAAAATGATATTGTTAAGATGATAAAGTATGTATCTTAGTCTGAATTACATAAAAGTAATCTGTGAGATGAAAATGGTGGTTCAGTGAGGATGGATGATGAGAATGCGTTCAGTTGAACGGGCTGAATCTGGTGGGAGGAGGAAAAGTAAAAGTGAATAGATGGATCGTGAAGGAAAGGAGTAAACAGATAAAATGGTGAACCGATTGAGGTAGAGGGAAGAGGATGAAGAGAGATGAAGATAAAGAGGAAACGGGCCAGGAGATGGATCAAGATTGGTGGATGATAAAGGAGGAGTGCAGCAACAAAAGAGTGAATAAAAGTGCAAGAAGATGAACATGAATAGCAGGACATCATTCAGATGATGGAAAGTGATGAGAAGGAGGAAAAAAAAGTATAAACAAGGGAAAGAATGGCGATGAAGAAAAGGTCAAGGACTTAAATAAGGACGGATAAATAGGTTTTGGCATGAATTTTATGGAAGAGAGAACATGGAATAGAATATAAAAAAAAAGAAAGTGATGATCATGGGAATGATGAGAAGATGAGAAGAGGGAAGATTGTTGCTGGTTTCAAGCATAAATGTTGTTCTTGCTGTTTTGTGTTTGGTGTTTGTTGTTGTTCGTGAAAAAAACAACCAAACCAAGATTCACCAGTTTTACCAATTTTCTTGCTTCTCTTGCTCTACATCTTCATCTTTTGATTTTTTCATCTTCTTCTTGGTGCTTCTTCATTGATTAAAAGTCATTGAATGATGGATGAAGATTAGAGTTAAGATGAAAATCAAGATGTTATCTTATAGACTTTTCATGGTAAAGTTTACAGTTTAAGGTCAACCTTAATTGATCTTTTTTTTGGTGTCACTTTTTTTCCCTGGTTTTTGCTGCTTCAAATTTTCAACCCAATTTGTAAATGATTAAGTAAAGGAGTTTTCATTGTTTTCATTTAAAGCTCAATGAATGTTTCGTTTAATAATTTAGTTGAGGTAAACATTTAACTTAATTAGAGTCAATTCATTTCTTCCCTTTACTTTGCCGTGTCTATCATTTAATCGTTGATTGTTACAATGACCAATAATCAAAGTCAATTAACCAATTTATGATGCAGTAAAAATGTTAATCTTTACAAGGTTTCAAAAGGAAGACAATGAAGGGCAAAAAATTTATTAAACTGCAAGCTTTTGACGGTAGTAAAGCTAAATTTATTCAATTAGTTGATTGTAATACAAATTGAAGTGTAATTGTAATCATTTACATTTACTTGTTAATAAATAATGGTAAATTGGGTAAAGGTTAAACAGGCAAAGTTGAGTTGAAATATATTTTCTTTTCTCCTTTTTTTTGCCTTCTTTGTTTTTCCAGGTTTAAACATGATGTTGATGTGAGTGATGATAAAGATGAATCTGATTTAGCAGAAACAATGTTTAGTTAGTTAATCAAGTATCTTATATTGTTTAATATCATCACAAGTCTCATGAGATGTGTGTGTGTGTGTGTGTTTGTGTGTGTTTCAAGTGTATTTATAAGGAAAGGGATAGCAAAGGAAAGCAAAATTTGATAATAAAACAATAAAAAATAGCAATACCAATGAGAAGGAAAAGGTAAAATAAAATATATTTTAGGCTTTTCAAGTAAATTGGATTGAAATACAAGGCAAAGGATGGATATCATGATGAGATAATGTTGGAATGGTTGTCAGTGTAAACATGAAAATCAACATAAAAATAACATGTTTGGTTGAAAGTAAAAATAGGAGTAAAGCATTTTAAACAACCGATAAGTTATTGCCTTCAATTGTTCCAACATATGTAAAAAGGTAAACCTATTTTACCTATTAGTTTCCAAGAGACTGCCTTTTAAACAGGTTTTAGTCACGCAAATGGTAAAAAACAGGTTTTACCTTTATTCACCTAGCAGCATTTAAAAACCAATCGGATTGCGTTCAAACTATAATAACTGGGTTCTGGTTAGCTGGTTTAGATCAAGGTGGAGAGGGGAGTTGACTCACGGGTGACCATTCAAAATTGTAAAATAACCAGCGTAATCAAGTTGATGGTAATGTTGATAATTTTCAATTTCATCTTAAGCTGCGAGAAAATATTTAATGACAAAAAAATCAAGTTGACTCCAAAGACATAATTAGGAACATTCCGGCAAGTACTTTGATTAACACCTAACGAGACTATACTTGAAGCTCTTGAAGTTATCGATAATTTACTAATTATTCTTTATCTTTTTCTACTTCAGGATTGCGTTCACACAAATTTGATGTTTGTAGCAAAGCCGTTAAACATAAGCACCATTTAACGGGACACAAAAGACTTAACACTCGAGAAAATGAAATTTCAAAAGATGTTAACGAGATTCTCTTGAAGGATCGTAAGCACAATTCATCTACCATCGATACATCGATATGCACCAACCTAAAAGATTCAGATATTAAGAGATATTAAAAAACCTAAAAGATATTAGATTCAGATATTGTTGATCATTTTTCTGTTTCTTTTCATTATTTGCTTTTCTCTTTCTTTCCTCTCTTTCTTTAACTCTTTCATCATGTCAACTTGGTTTTTCCCTTCACATTTGTGCCATTTTTTCAACCTTTAAAGCCGACTTTTCTCACCAACCTTTGGGATAATTTACATGTTTTTTGTTCATTTTTACTTCAACCTATTTTGTCACCTTTTTTGTATCTCTTGAGAAACTTTAAATTTACTTTGTTAGTCAAATTTATACCTTTCAAGAGGCCAAGTGTGTATATTTATCAACAAGGACTTTAGAGTGGACAGATACAAGTTTAGGTTTGTAACAAGATGACCATGAAACCTAAGGTTGAGATAAATAATTATCTGGACCAAAATTGAAGTTTAAAAATTAAAATGGAGTTTGTTTTGGCTCTTTTCTGGTTCAAACTTTGTTTATCTCAATATTTACGTGGTTAGCCTGGTTATTTACATTTAGTCTGTTTATGACTTTATCAATATCATTTTAAAGTGAATGTTCAAAGTAACAACAAACAGCAAGTAAAAAGTAAACATTCATTGGAAAGGTCAAGTTTTGAAGATAAATTTCAAAAGTTTATTAAAATTGCAAATAATCTTTAGTAGAAAACCTTGATCATTAAAGGTACAATGGCTCGGTAAATTGTTGACAAGTCAATTGGTCTAATTGAGTAAACTGGATCAATTGGATTAACTTTTAACCAGTTTACCGACAATTGCACAAAAGCTTCCTGAGAAAGCATTGGTTCATTAAGACATCTTGATCCACTAACTTAGCTGCTTCGCGTGAATCAGTCTGTTTTAAAACCCAAACCGCCTCAAACAAGGAAAGTGCCCTTGCTACGATCGTCTACAATAAGAAAAAAAATGCCGAAAAAATTGAAAATGATTGCAAGTGCACATCCTTTGAAAGTCTTTTGTTTTAACTGGGAAATGGGACTAAATTTTGAAGACACCTTGAGAAAGCCGATGTGTATTAGGACAAAATTAAGTGTTGGAAATGAGAAAGAGAAATTGTTGAAATTATTATCCTCTTTCTTTCTCTTGTCTATTTCCCTGTCTTCGCAAATATGTTTCTTAACAATGATCAGATGGGCAAACTCTTTGCTTTAACAAAACAATTAGTGAGGCAAGTTTAAATTTTTACTCCAAGCTGGTAACTTGAAAATGAATGTAACTGGTGCTTCATCCATTGGACTTTGTGCTTATTGATTTAATTAAATTATAGTTGATCCATTGGATAATTGTGTCCACCAAATTATTATTATTTAAATAAAATGTGTTTCATTGTTTTAAATATTATAAATATTATCATCAAATCTTGGTCCAACTATTTGCAAACCTAAAGGTTACAAGGGAACAAGGTAAACTTGAAGCCAAAAGTCCTGCCATATTTGTCTTGCAATAATCTTAACCAGATGATGTATCTGTAGTCTGTTATATTTTTAACCCAATCTGAGTACCGACTGACTGAGGTGAGAGTGACTGGAGTTAGCAGAAGATTTTCAACCCGTAAATAATAATTTTTACTAATATCCGACTATCGATATTGTCTCCAAAAGGTTCACTTCGAAAGCAGGTGACGCATTCTTGAAATATCTTCAAGCTGAAGCTACATGGACAAAAACAAATGTATCCAACTCTTGCTGACCACTTATCAATATGAACTTGCCGATTAGCAAATGCCCAGCTCTCTGAGTGATGCACGATTGGGTTGATGTTAAAAGGTCGACAATCGATTAATTGGACATAAAATCTGGTAAATAATCTTTGGGGTTAACCAATGGTGAGTTGCTCATCTAAGGGTTTAAATTACTCTTTGAACTGGTTGAATCTTTAACATCCCAACCATGGATGGATTGAAAAACAAGTTCAACATCTTCAACTGTTCGACCCATGATTGATGGTTTTAGATGGGTCAGAGGTGCCAAACCATACTCCCATAGCTTGGTTCATAACAATGACCACTTTCAATGATCATGATAGCCATCTGAAATGTTGGTCCAACTATTTGTAAACCTAAAGGTAAATTTGTCGATGGTGAAGGGTGAAAAAAGGTAAACTTGTCTTGCCATGTTTACCGGTACAATAGTCTTAACCAGATAAATTTATCTGTAACATGTTTCCTGTTTTTCGTGTAAGAAACTTGCTGAGTTGAGAAAAGCTAAACCCTGAAAATGCAAACAACCTTTAAGTCGCACAAATTTACTGAAAAAAATTGAGCTTTTATTATAATTCAATATTTATCTTAACGGAGCAAAAATGAGGAGAAAAATATTTTCCTGTTCCAAAGGTGAAGAAAGTAGGAGAAGAAGAAGAAGAAAAAAAGCTAAAGAAAAGGATTATAAAGTGTTTCAATTTAAATGGTTTATTAGACTGAGTATCGAGTAGTTGATGTACATGAACCACCAATAAATAGGCAACATTAACATGAATGTTTCCAATGAATAAATATTAATCATGAGATTAATCAAATTTTGTTGCATTATAACATTCACAGGAAAGTGGTAAAAGGTAAATTGGTTTTTGCATGTTATCTTTTGCTCTGTAAACTTGCAATCAACAAGGAATAATAAGGTTAACATGATTATTCTGTGGTTTAAGCTGATTGCTTTGGATTTTCCTTCTTTCCTCTTTTCTCTTTCTTGTTCGTTTTTTTTTTCTTCTTCTTCTTCTTACATGTAATTCTCATGATGATGCTGATGATTATGAAAAGGTCTTCTTCTGAGGTCATAAAAGGACTTGAAAGGAGTCAATGAAAAGTGTATCAAAAATGGCTCATCTTAAGACCCTTAGGCTGTCAAGGTGCTCCAACCTATTGTACTGGATAATAACGATAATAAGGTGATAATAATATTATTAATAATGTGTCATGAATGCTTGAGTAAAGCTCAGTTTCAGCTCTATCATGTAAACCCAAAGCATCTCAAGATAGACCTCACTTTTTACCTTAAGATTTACTTTGAGTGTTATTTTAGTTTCTATCGTAATTTTTTCAGGGTTTTGTCTTATTCTTCTTCTTCTTCTGCTTTTTTCACGTTCAATGTGCGCTTTCATCTTGTCTTCATGTACTAGATATATTGACATGAAAGATTTACTGAGTTGTTGAAACAAAAAGCAGAGTAAAAAGGTAACTGAATATTCATTGAAGAGTCTCTCACAGGATAAGAAAGTGTCTATTGATCCATGAAAAAATCAGAAAGATGGATAGAAGAAGAAGAAGAAGAAGAAGAAGACAAAACCAAAGTAAAAATCATTTTAACATAATTCAAAGTTTACCTGATTCTCATGATAAATTAGGTTTACCGTTAGTTTACAATGCAAATAGTAACCGCACAAATAGCATTTAATCAATCAAACCAGTTTACATTTTGTCAAAGTGGGCTCAAAGTGAATGTTGATAATGATGATGAAGGAAAGGGAAACAAATGTTCAAGTTTCAATGTTCAGTAAAGTTTTTCAAATAAACTTTCAAATTGTTGAAAGTTTTCAATTGCAACTTTGATGGCTAAAGCATGCTAATTTTATAGTCAATGAGTTGGCTAATGAGCAATGAACTTGGTTAAACTTTTATAAATTTGGACCGAGTTCAGTTGGAGAGATAGGTAGATAAACTTCATAAAGGTAACTCGGGTTTACACAGAAATGCAAAAAATTTTCAAATATTTCGAGTTTTGTCTGGAGGCTGTGTTTGAATAGAAAATCTGTTTTTCTTCGTGAAAAATGACACATTTTTTGCAGATGCAAACAAAGAGTTTTTGTGAACATTTTTTTTCTTTTTGGAGAAAAAAAATGACACCAGAAAAACGCAATAAAATTTTGTAATTAGATGCAAGTTCTTCGATTCATCATGTTTGGCAAAGTGCCATTTGAACTTGTTACTGTTAAACTGTTGGATACAAAAATGTTCAAGATAAAGCTCTCTCTCTCTCATTGAGTTTTACCTTTCATGAAACAAGTAAATCTTATTGCAATTTCAATTTCTTATATACTACTTTTGGCTTTTGTTTACTTTTCCCGTTCACCCAAACCTGAAACATTAACTCAACACTTTACTTTGATTTTTAATTACACCTCACAGTAAATGGTGAAAACTGAGTTTTGTTTAATGAAACATCAAGTTAAAGATGAAGATGAAGATAGTAAAGAAAGGAGGAAGAAGAAAAGATAAGAATGAAGATGAAGGAAGATGGATGAAGGTGAGAGAAGAGAGGAAAAGTTTATTGAGTAAAGAGGAGATTGAATAATGAGGTTGAATTAAAGTTTTCATTTTCAACTAATAAAAAGGATAAAAATAAATTGCCTTTGACCAGGTTTGCGATAATCAAATAATGAAAGACCTGGGAAGTGAGGGGAGGATGATGATCAAGAGGAGGATAAAGATGATGATTGAGATGAGGATCGAGATGAGGATCGAGATGAAGAGGGAGGTAAAGTGAGGTAGCAAGGGAAGAGTGAGGTGAGTAGGAAGATGAATAAAGTCCTTTTCTTGTTGAGCTTCACTTTTTTGTTAACAATCATAAAGGTTACTTTTTATTGTAAATACAATAGCACGTGCCAGGTGCTGCCCCCTTTTCACGACCTCAACGTGCTGTACGCGTGTGAGGGACTCGAAGATGGGAAAGGGAAGAAGAGAGAGAAGAGAGAAGAAGACAAAAGAGAGAAAAGAAAGTGAATAATAGAATCAGTTTCACTGATTTGCACACTTTTATTCAACCTTGCCAACAACAAAAAAGATCCCAGGTTTGACTTGGAATAAAAAGTAAAGGTTACTGGAATAAATTAACGGATCTTTCTTTTTCTTCTTCATCTTTATCATCTTCATCATCATCATCAGTGTAACATCATCATTCTCATCATCAATAGAAATGAAAGATACCCTCAAAATTTTCCTCTCTCTCTTTTTCTCTCTGTCTTTTCTCTCTCTCTCCTATTTCACTGTACAACCCTGAACACCCCACCTCATCTAACAACCTTTTCCTCATCATCTTCCTCATCATCTTGCTGATCATCATCTCCTCCTCCCCACCACAGCGTCTCACACAAACCAAAAACAGCGCAAACTCAAGTCGCAAAAACACCAAGATTTTGCGCTGTTTACAGTTGAATCGCGAAAAAAACTAACTTTGTTTATAATCTTTTGATTACTTGCTTTCCATAGCCAGTTTGTACCTACACCTCAAAGATACCTTTTTTGTGCCTTTATTACTTACTCTGGACATAAAAATACATCTATGTATATATAAAGCCACTGAAACAACAGCAAAAGTACATCACACATATAGATATACGTAAAGCCCAAAATAAGAAGGAAAACTTTTCTGGAAAACGTGAAAACTCTATTGTTACACCTTTCAACTTTAACTTCATCTTTTGATCATCTCTTGTTCATCTTCAGTGATAATGTGCTACACAATCAACAATTTCCTGGAGACAACAACAAAATACTTGATCAACACAATTTACAAATCATCTTCCGTCTTAATTTAAACAACAAACAAAAGTACAACACCAACAATTGAAAACAAAAAAAGTAACCAAATAAATTTGTGATTGCAAAGCATAACAAAAAAAGGAGAAACAAACAAACAACTTTAAAGGAAACTTTCAATGTATAATTTTTTCATTGCTTATGATCAGGTAATGTATTCACTCCTCATGATCATCTTTCAATTGCCTTTCCAATCCATTTCCACCTCAAAATCCCAAACAATTGGAGTTTATCCAACACATACACACACAGACAATTAGTTTCAAATTTAATTTTTCAAACTTCTCTGAATCTCTTTCAATTGATTTTTCACTCATTTCTGCCTCTTCTCCCAGTGGTTGTTCCCACGAATTTTTGCATTCCTGACAATAAGAGCAACTAACTTTGCCGTTAATTACTCTCATAACATATCTGTTTTCGCCATCATCCTCGTCTATATCTTCCTTACCGTCAATATTAAAAAGGAAAGAGCACAAAGAAGAGACTTAAGACTGTAAAAACAAACCCATAACAGAAACTAAACAGAACCCTCTTCTCATCCTCCTCCTCCTCCACAAATCCTCCTCCTTCTCCTCAATGGATTCACTTTTCACTGGGTTCATCTTTTCCATGTGTTTTCCTTATGTGTTACCAATGATAATTGGATGAAACTGGATGAAAAAAAGTGAAGAAACGAGCAAAAAAAAATATCAAAGGTCAAACTCAAAAGGTTAAGCCATTGATAATTAAGGATACATTGATTGACACCATTGATTGTTTTCCCTGAATATTCAATCTTGACCACATCTTTTAGTCTAATTGTTTGAGCGTTTCCTGTAAGAAATTTGTTCAATCTTTTCGCCTCCAAAACTGTGTTTACCTTTTGTTTCCAAACGAAAAGCAATAAATTTTTTCTTCCCTTTGAACGTAAAGCAAGCAAGCAAAGAAAAAAGTATTTCAAATTTTCTTGCCTTCAACCGAAAAGGGAACAAAAAAACTGAAACTTCATTTTCACTTCATTAGATTATTATTATTAATATAACAACATTATCCAAGTTTTTCATTCAATATACTCTGAATATATTTGAATAAACAAATGAAAGAAAAAGGGTGAAAAAAAGTAAATTATTTCAATTACAAAATGTTCATCGGAAGTTGAACATCAATTTGCCTTTAGCATTATCCTTTTGTTTTGGCTCATTTATAAAAAGCGAGCAACACACACAAAAAAGAGTAAACTGAAAACTAATTTTCAATGGAAGGAAAACATTGAAAATGATTATCATCGCCATTATTATCATTATCATTAGTAGGCTGCAAGTTGTAATCATTATCATCTGAAAGTTAACACGAAAATTGAAGATTTGTGAAAATCAATGATTTGAGCAATTTACATAAGTACATCAAGATGTTGAGGAGTGAGAGAAGCGACTCAAGAAAATATGAAAACAGGAGCCACAGTAATATCTAGTTACAGATGAAAATGAAGATAACTCATTAAACAACAGTTTGTGAACATTTGATTATATTTGTTAAAACCTTAATGTAAAGCAATTAAGACCAAGTTGATGATTATTTTTACTGTAATAAGAGTTTCTTCAATGATAGGGTTACAATTGTTTTTATCCTACGCCATTCCCAATCCTTAGACACTTTACCCATTTTTACATTACTTTCAATGTGACAAAATTGATAATATTTTTTTTTCCTTCAACTTATTTACTTTACCATTTCAACTTTGACCCTTGAAAAGTGAGATAACGGGTAAACGAAACACGAGTTCAAATTGAACATTTCTGACCGTGTTGAGTTACTTTGTTTATTCATCATTTTATCATTTGTAAGATGATAATTTTTGTATTCAAGATACAGGATAAGCTAGTAAATTAACGAGTAAACAAATGAATAAAGTAAAATTCAACAGCGATTAACTTATTAGAAGAAGAGAATTTAAATTCAGAACATTTTTCACTTGATAATTTTGGTGAACAATATGACTAATTGGTTGTCCAGGTTAACCAGTTTATGATTAAGAGTAAAGGAGAGGCAGAGTGAGAGAGTGAATAACGAAGGGAGGAGTTTCGAGAAACTGAAATTTTTTAACCAAACCTTCTCTCACTTTACATCTACCTCAGCAACCGAGAACAGCTTTTTTTACACCGTTTTGTCTCTTTTTGTAAACACCTTTACCATTCAACTATCCGTCCAATTTTAGAATATTTTTTAATTGCGTTTTTTTTGTTCTTCTTATTTTTCAGCTCTTGTTCTTGTTCTTGTGTTGGCTATAATTATTGTCATTTATTATGGCTACTGCAAATTTACGTAAATTCAAGTGTCCTGAATGTGGGAAGGCTTTCAAATATAAACATCACCTGAAAGAACACATACGAATCCATTCCGGAGATAAACCCTTTGAGTGTCCACACTGTGGTAAACGATTTTCCCATTCCGGATCCTTTTCATCTCACTTGACCAGCAAAAAATGTTTCAAAGTTAATCTCAAAGTGACCAATTCAAATAATATTAATTCTATTAATAATAATAGTAACCATTTAAACTCTCCACAAGCAACCAAACCGTTCCATTTACCACCGTACCATTGTCCGCCGTACTATTTACCGCCCTACCATCTACCACCGTACCATTTACCATCTGCAACTTTTCATAATTTTACCGAGATTGCTCAGGTTCACCTTGAGCCTCAAAGAACCCTAAATGTTCATAGTTTAAATAAGTTAAAATCAAGCCTCTCCACAACGATTACAACAATCCCTGCCATAATTCATAACAATGTAATTAACAGCAATGGATCATCGTCTCACCTCAATCATCATCATCATCCTTCTCACAATCATAATGGTAATTCTATTAATACACCTATTACTGACAGCAACAACAACAATACCAGCATCAACAATCACAACAATCACAGCAACAATAGCAACAACAGCAGCAGCAACAGTAGTAGCAACATTGGTACTATCAGCACCATTAGTACCATCAACAACTTCAACATAAGCAACAGCAACACTCTCATTATGAACAACATCGACATCAACAACACAAGCAGCAATTTTATAAATTTCGAAGTTCCACTCGATCTTTCCACAAACAAAATAGAATCCGTTCCAACTGATTTATCGGTGAAGAGGAAGAGGCCATTAGAGGATGAAGATGCAAATAAAAAACAATCGACATCCACCGATCATTCAGTCACTAGTGACCATTCAACCTTGCAAAATGATCAAAGTAATCATGTTGATGATAATGTTGACAATTTTCAGTTTTCAACCATCTTCAACTGCGATAAATGTGAGAAAACATTTAATAAATCAAGTTCACTTGCAAGACATAAATATGAACATTCCGGTAAGTATTTTGATTAACACCTAACGAGACTATATTTGGAGCTTTTGAATTTATCAACAATTTACTAATTATCTTTCTTTTCCTTCTTCTTCAGGTTTACGTCCACACAAATGTGATGTCTGTAGCAAAGCATTTAAACATAAACACCATCTAACCGAGCATAAAAGACTCCACAGTGGGGAGAAGCCATTTCAATGTAAAAAATGTTTAAAGAGATTTTCACACTCAGGATCGTATTCCCAACATATGAACCATCGATACTCCTATTGTAAACCGCAAAGAATCTAGATTCAGATGGCTCATAAGATGAATTTAATTTCTTCATCGTCATCTCTCTTCTCTTTCTCTCTCATTCTTTTACCTTTTTTTCATATTTCGCTTTCCTTTCTTTCACCCCTTTCATCATTTCATCTTTCTTTTTCCCTTCACATTCTTGAAAATTCATAACCTTTAAAATAATAAAAAGCAACTTTGCTCACCAATCTTGTGATAAGTTACATGTTTTTTTACTTCTACTTCAACCTATTTTGTCACCTTTTTGTATCCCCTGAGAAACTCTCAATGTTACTCTGTTAGTCAAATTGAACTTTTCAGATGGCAAAATGTCTATCCATCGACAAGGACCTTAAAGTAACCCCAAAGTAAAGTGGACACCCAGTCAACCCAGATGGAAACATGTAAACTGGAGGAAAGGGTCAGACTTTGGTTTTAATAACTTTTATGCTCGTATACGCAAATACCCAAGCAGTCAGAAATTAAGTTTTTCTTCAGATTTTCTCAGGTTTAATTCAAATCTAAAGGGTCGTGTATTCATCTTTACAGAAACTCATATCTACATTTCAAGCACACAGATCTAGACCTTTATTTACATATGTACTATTGCCGTTTGAAGATTGTTGCGCTTCTGTAAATTTATCAATTTTGACTATAAATTCACTCGATCCTCAAGGCTTCAGATGAATGGAACCTCTTGTTATCAGCCATAGATTTTGTTCATACAGAAATACGTATTCCTACGTTTACCATGCTAATCAATCATTTAATATTATTGCCACAAAGGAAAAATGAGTTTATTTATTTTGATCTAGTAAATTAGTGTAAAAAGTAGCAGCATAATGAATCATTCTTTCAAAGTTTTTCCTTATTTATCAGATCAAGATACCGATGAAACTGTGAAGGCTGTGAAGTTAACACTAAAGATGAAGGAAATTATAGATTGTCATTTATTTATATTGACAGTTTAGGTAAGAATTACTTTGGACGAAAAAATTTAGCCTTAAGTTGAAAATTCATTTTGATTTCAATGTAAACCACCACAGATGAGAACATTTGAAAGCTAATGTTAAAGAAATTTTCACTTGCAAAAAACGCCCAGTTCCTATGCTACTGAAAATCCATCTTTGACAGTACTTTAGACTTCTGTTTTGTCTTCATCCTGTTTTCATCATAATTTTCTCAGGAACCTGGATTCCTAGGAAACTCAGCCTATTTACTGGACCTGCTGTAAAATCTTGCCCGTCAGTTGGTGTCTTCATTTCTCATGGAACCCTTTAGGCACAGAAACAGACAAGTGATTGATTCACTGATACAATCCATACTGAAGAGACATGAATTGTTGATGAAAAACCATCTTCAGAAAAGAAATCCAAATTTAAAATCTTCAGCTTTTGTCATATTGATAATACAATTGAGTCCATTTAGACTATTAATATTTGTAAATTAGTAAATTGAAACTTGGATCTCCTTTAGTACAATTGAGGAACCTGATTTTTGCACAAACTCTTAACTCTTTACCTAAAGACAAAGTTTACATAAAATCCTGGTCCAACAATGAATCAACACCTGACTAACAAAAATTTTCCCCTCACTCAATGTCATTGAATAAGGATTCTGCATTCCCTCCCCAGCCTCTATTTTTATGAATTTCCCAGAGATCTGAGATGAAGTTTCCTGTTTTTCATGGATAGAGTTGAGTCAAGGTTTCCGTGCTGAGTAATTTTTTCTGAGACTTTGATTCATTAACTTAATGTATTGTATAGATTGACAGTTTAGGTGAGATATACATTGGATGGAAAAATTTGGCGTTTTCATTTCAATAGTTGATAAAGTCCTACGTTCTTAGTTTGGGTTGACTGGGTAGATAAAGTTATGATTATTACAAGATGACCATGAAATAAAATATTGTTGAGAAATAATTATCTGGACCAAAGTTTAACTTTAAAATTAAAATGAGTTTGTTTTGGCTCTTTTCTGGTTCAAACTTTGTTTATCTCAATATTTACGTGGTCAGCTTAGTCCGACTGTATGACTTTATCAATATCATTTTAAAGTAGATGCTCAATGAATAAGTAAACATTCATTGGAAATGTCAAGTTTAGAAGAAAAATAATTGAAAGTTTACTGAGGAACCTTGATTGGAAGGTCTGTTAATCCAATTGATTAAGTTTATTCAATTGGACAAATTAACTTTCCACCGACAATCGCACCTTTTCTGTCTCCTAAAAGCGTCCTGGGAAAGCATTGGTTATTTGTTCATCTTTACTCATCTTAATCCACTAAACTTGAAGCTGCCTTCTTCTTGTGAATGTCTCTGTTTTAAAGGCGAAACCGCCTCTAAGTCTTTTGTTTTGAAAGTCAATTCCAGCTTAGGTGAGTCATTCTTAATGAGCTAAACTGGAAAATGACCCTAAGTTTTGAAAATACCTTGAGAAAAGTTGAACATCATAAAACCTTGGTCCAACTATTTACAAACCTAAAGGTAAATTTGCTTATGGTGAATAGTAACCAGGTAAACTTTAATGAAGTGGACAGTAAGACTATTTAGTTGACCAGCATTTCGCCACTTCATGAGCAAGGAAAAAAGCCTTGGGCTTTACTATTGCAATCAAATCATTTGCTCGTCTTTTATTGACTTTTAATCTCTATTCTGGCTCAACACTTTAAACTGTAAACTTACTCTGTATCTTTATATTATTGGATTGATTATATTTTTGCTTCATATTTATTAATACTTTTACCATTTTGACTTTGACCTTTTCTAAGTGAGATAACGGGTAAAGAAACCTACGAAATAAAGAGTTCAAATTGAACATCTTCTGATAGCGTTGAGTTACTTTGTTTATTCATCATTTTATCATTTGTAAGATGATAATTTTTGTATTCAAGATGCAGGGTAATGAAGTAAATTACCGAGTAAACAAATGATTAAAGTAAAATTTTTCGCGAATCAGCGATTATTGGATTAGAAGAAGAAGCGAATCCGCATTCTTAGAAAATTTGATAATTTTAGTGGACATTATGACTAATTGGTTGTCCAGGTTCACCACTTCATGAGTAAGAAGTGAGCAACAGGAGAGGGAGGGAGAGTGAGAGTGGATAACGAAGGGAGGAGTTTCAAGAAACTTAAGTTTTTTAACCAGACCTTTGTTCACTTTACATCTACCTCATCAACCGAGTGCATCGTTACACCGTTTTGTCCAACCTTGTTAACACCTTTGACATTCCACTTTCCGTCCAACTTATAACGTATATTTCAATTTCATTTTATTTTGTTTTTTCGTCTATTCAGTTCTTGTTATTCTAAACTTGTTCATTCATTATGTCGACTGAAAATTTACGTAAATTTGAGTGTCATGAATGTGAAAAGGCATTCAAACATAAACATCACCTAAAAGAACACGTACGAATCCATTCCGGAGATAAACCCTTTGAATGTCCACACTGTGGTAAACGATTTTCTCATTCCGGATCCTTTTCCTCTCACTTGTCCAGAAAAAAATGCTTAAAATCTAACCTCGAAATGACCAATATAAATAATATTTATTCTGATAATTTTGACCATTGTGACTCTCGAAAGGAGAACAAACCACCTCATTCCCCACCGTTCCTTTTACCACCGTATCATCTTTTACCGTACTTTTTACCATCTACAACTTTCCATAATTTTATGAAGATTGCTCAGTTGCACCTTAATAAGCTAAAATCTATAACGAATACTAAAATCCCTGCCATAACTGATAACAATGTAATTAACAGCAATGGATCATGGACTCACCTCAATCATCATCTTCCTTCTCACAATGGTAATGCTATTACTAATTCAATTACTGGCACCAACAACAGTAATAGCACCATTAGTACCACCAACAACTTCAACATTAGCAACAGCAACACTCTCACCATGAACAACATCGACATCGACAACACCAGCAGCAATTTTATAAACTTCGAAGTTCCACTTGATCTTTCCACAAACAAAATAGACTCCATTCCAACTGATTTATCGGTGAAGAGGAAGAGGCCATTAGAGGATGAAGAGGCGAATAAAAAACAATCAACATTTACCGATCATTCAGTCGCTAGTGACCATTCAACCTTGCAAAATGATCAAAGTAATCATGTTGATGATAATGTTGACAATTTTCAATTTTCAACCATCTTCAACTGCGATAAATGTGAGAAAACATTTAATAAATCAAGTTCACTTGCAAGACATAAATATGAACATTCCGGTAAGTATTTTGATTAACACCTAACCAGACTATATTTGGAGCTTTTGAATTTATCAACAATTTACTAATTATCTTTTTTCTTTTCCTTCTTCTTCAGGTTTACGTCCACACAAATGTGATGTCTGTAGCAAAGCATTTAAACATAAACACCATCTCACCGAGCATAAAAGACTCCACAGTGGGGAGAAGCCCTTTCAATGTAAAAAATGTTTAAAGAGATTTTCACACTCAGGATCGTATTCCCAACATATGAACCATCGATACTCCTATTGTAAACCGCAAAGAATCTAGATTCAGATGGCTCCATGGATGGCTCTTCCATTCTTTTACCTGTCTTCATACCTCGCTTTCCATTCTTTCACCCTTCTATCATGTCATCTTTCTTTTTCCGTTCACGTTCTTGAAAATTCTTAATCTTTAAAATAATAAAAAGCAACTTTGCTCACCAATCTTGTGATAAGTTACATGTTTTCTACTTCTACTTCAACCTTTTGTGTCACCGTTTTGTATCCGCTGCGAAACTCTCATTGTCAGTCAAATTGAACTTTTCAGATTGGTTTTCATTTGAAATTAATGATTAATCAGAATTTTCTCTACTCCTCCTTCAGTACCCATGGATTCAAGACAAGATTAGTAGCTAACAGTTAGTTCAATTACCATTATAACCATTAGACTTAATTATGATCTTAACCTGATTGGATCTTAATTTAAATGTCCCATCCTTAGTCCGTAAAACGATACTCTTACCGGTGTAAACCTAACGTGTAGTAATATTATTACCATTATGATTGTGAGAAGGATGATGATGATTGAGGTGAGACGATGATGATCCATTGCTGTTAATTACATTGTTATGAATTATGGCAGGGATTGTTGTAATCGTTGTGGAGAGGCTTGATTTTAACTTATTTAAACTATGAACATTTAGGGTTCTTTGAGGCTTTCTGCCTTTAAAGTATAGGTGAGAATAAGATGAAGGAAAAAAAGATAGGAACGCCTTAAAGTGGCCTCAAAATCATCTTCCTTTCGTTGCTTTCAACGGTCAATAGGTAAAGTCTATTTTCAACTTTTAGGTTCACTTTTTTTTAACCTTTCTCTGGTTTCTTTAAACCTATCAGAGGTCAGACCTTTTTATCATTTGCTCTCTGTTGGAAGTGAATGGAAATGTAGATAAGAAGGAAACAGAGAGAAGGACGAAGATGAAATTACCAAAGAAAAGGTCAGTTTACGGCAAAAAAAAGCTTTTTTTCCTTTTCGTTGAAACAAAAGGTAAACAGAGTTGTTGAGTTAAAGTTGGAGAAGAAAAGATTTAACAAATTTTTACAGGAAACGTAAAACAATTAGACTAAAAGATGAGGACTGCAAGATTGAACATTAAGCGACAAATAACAATCAATTGTGTCAATCAAGTGTATCCTTGCTTATCAATGGCTTAACCTTTTGAGTTTGACCTTTGTAGCTGTGTGTTGAGAATGGTCAAGATACACAGTACAGTTTTGACCAAATGTACTGCAATGAAATTTTCCGACTTTCTTTTCTAATTGTCATTTATTTATATTGACAGTTAAGGTAAAATTTACATTGGACACAAAATTTAGTGTTTAATTGAAAATTCATTTTGATCTCAATGAAAATCTTCATGGATGAGAACATTTGAAAGCTGATATCAAATCTAGTGTTTAGAAAATTAAAATACGGCTTGATTCTTACCATAGAAATATACAAAAAAGTTTCAAGATTAATATTAAGTGATAGTTTTCTTTATACATTTATAAAGATTGGACTTGGTTTTAACTTATCTAGGACTTGACTTATTCAACTCATTTTAGAGATGAAAAACGAACAGTCTAATGGTTGAAGCTGATCTACAGCGACTATTCGGTCATCTCATCGTCTTCTGAGTTTGGAGATTTTCCTTTGGCTGGTTCAGTCTTGTCAGGCAGTGGTTCTTCTTCCTTCTCAGTTTGTGATCGAACCTCTTTTTGTCGCGCAAACCATTTCACCAAAGCGTTCGCCACTTGAGTAGCTATAACATGGGAATCAAGGACGTCGATACTTGGAATTTCCTCGTTTACATGGGACTTGGCAAAATGTCAAAAGGTGAAGAGGTTTGGATTTAGAACAAGTAAGACTAAATTACAACGAAACAACGGATTAATAGATGCGAAGCCGCATTCTTAGAAAAATTTCCATTTGATAATTTTAGTGGACATTATGACTAATTAAACACTTCATGAGTAAAAGTGACCTGGAGGAGAGGAGAGTGAGAGAGTTAATAACGAAGGGAGGGGCTTCGAGAAACTGAAATTTTTAACCAGACCTTTGCTCACTTTACATCTACCTCATTTACCGAGCGCAACCTTTTTACACCGTTTTGTCTCATCTTGTCAACACCTTTAATATTCCACTTTCCGTCCAACTCATCTCACTTGTCCATAGTTAAATGCTTAATAGTCAAACTTAAAATGACCGATATAAATAATAATAATTCTAATAATGTTAACCCTTCAGACTCTCGAAAAGAAAACAAACCACCTCATTCACCACCGATCCTTTTATCACCGTATCATCTTTTGCCGTACTCTTTACCATCTCCAACGATTACAACAATCCCTGCCATAATTCATAGCAATGTAATTAACAGCAATGGATCATCATCGTCTCACCTCAATCATCATCATCCTTCTCAAAATCATAATGGTAATAATATTACTACTGACAACAGCAACAATACCAGGATCGCCAATCAAAGCAACACTCTCATCATGAACAACATCGACATCGACAACACCAGCAGCAATTTTATAAACTTCGAAGTTCCACTTGATCTTTCCACAAACAAAATAGTTCCAATTGATTTATCGGGGAAAAGAAAGAGGCCATTAGAGGATGAAGAGGCGAATAAAAAACAGTCAACATCCACCGACCATTCAGTCGCTAGCGACCATTCAACCTTGCAAAATAATCAAAGTAATCATGTTGATGATAACGTTGACAATTTTCAGTTTTCAACCATCTTCAACTGCGATAAATGTGAAAAAACATTTAATAAATCAAGTTCACTTTCAAGACATAAATATGAACATTCCGGTAAGTAATTTAATCAACATCTAATGAGACTATATTTGAAGATCTTGAAATTATAATATCAATAATTTAATTAATTTACTAATTATCTTTTTTCTTATTTTTCCGCTTCAGGTTTACGCCCTCACAAATGCGATGTATGTAGCAAAGCATTTAAACATAAACACCATCTAACAGAACATAAAAGACTCCACAGTGGGGAGAAGCCATTTCAATGTAAAAAGTGTTTAAAGAGATTCTCCCACTCAGGATCGTATTCCCAACATATGAACCATCGATATTCCAATTGTAAACTTCAAAGAATCTAGATTCAGATGGCTCCATGGATGAGCCATTCATTCTTTTACCTGTCTTCATACCTCGCTTTCCATTCTTTCACACCTTTCATCATTACATCTTTCTTTTTCCATTCACATTCTTGAAAACTCATAACTTTTAAAACAATAAAAAGCAACTTTGCTCACTAATCTTTTGATAACTTTCATGTTTTCTACTTCTACTTCAACCTATTTTGTCACCTTTTTGTATCTCCTTTGTAACTTCCAATTTTACTTTGTTAGTCAAATTGAACTTTTCAGATGGCAAAATGTGTATTCAGAGAAGAACCTTAAAGTAACCTTAAAGTTAAGTGGAAATCCAATCAACCAAGACAGAAGTGCTAGAAACGTGTGAGCTGGAGGAAAGGGTCAGACTTTGGTTTAATAACTTTTATCCTCGTATACGCAAGCAACTCAAAGGTTCATGTCAAAGGGTTATTTATTTTGACCTAGTAAATTTGTGTAAAAAGTATCAGTATGATGAATCATTTTGCAAAGATTTTTACATCAGATTATATTATATAAACTGAAAACCGTGTTGAGTTTCTTTTCATTGCATATTTCATCATATTTATCATTCTTTATAAACTAAACGGGGAAATGATACTAAATTTTCAAGATACTTTGAGAAAGCCAAAACAATATTATCATTAAATCTCGGTCCAACTATTTGCAAACCTAAAGGTAAATTTGTTGATGGTGAAAGGGAACAAGGTAAACTTAGAGCTGGAAGTCCGGCCATATTTGCCGGTTGTGTACAATAATCTTCACCAGATGATTTATCTGTAGCGTCTCTTTTAACCCAATCTGAGTAACGAAAGGCTGAAGTGAGAGTTACTGGAGTTAGCAGGAGATCAACCTTTTCCGGTCCATTGAAAATTTTGTCGAAATCTTGGCAAATCAATCTTCTAACTTTCAGTGCTTTAAGGAAAAAATTTTCATAATTTTCTTTGAGAAGAAAATAATTTCCTGCTAATATTCGACCCTTAACATTATCTCCAAAAGCCTCATCTCGAGAACAGGTGATGAATTCCTCAAATGTCTTTGGTTTTGAAGCTGTTTCTAATTTACCAGTTTTGTTTGCTTCATTATTATTATTATCAGTACTAGATGAAAAAACATTGGCACTTCGATGACCATATTCAATTCCATCATAACAGGCAAAATTAGAGGCAACATCACAGCAGTTAATTACAGAATAACAGGGTAATGAATATGGTGTGTGAGGTAATGAAACGGGAACAACTGAGATTCCTTTTGATGTTAAAAGATCAACAATGGAGTTGATTAGTGAAAGTATTTCTGGGGACATAAAATCTGGTAAATATTCTTTGGGTAAACCAATGGTCAGTTGCTCAACTGGGAAATTATCGTCTAAGGGTTTAAATGAATTACTCTTTGAGCTGGTTGAATCTTTAACATCCCAACCATGGATGGATTGAAAAACAAGTTCAACATCTTCAACTGTTCGACCCATGATTGATGGTGTATCCAAAGAATGGGTCAGAGGTACCAAACCATAACGAGACAAAGTCCCATAGCTTGGTTTAAAACCAACAATACCACAGTGTGAGGCAGGATTGCGAGTTGAGCCACCAGTGTCAGAGGCAAGAGCTGCAAAAACGATTCCTGATGCAACAGCAACTGCACTTCCACCAGAACTACCTGAGAAATCAATAGAATAGAAAAATAAAAACTGATTAGAGGTAGGAATTAAACATTTTTATCATTATCAAAGAGTCCCATAAGCGTTAAGAAAGGAGTAAAAGGTTAGTGATTTTTAACTTCATTACATAACACCAAAAAAGTTAAAAATCAGTATTGTTGGAGAGATTCTGAAAAATATTGCTGTATCGAAGTAGTTATGGTAGTTTATCAATATTCAACACAAAGCAAAAACATTGCATGATTAATTGCAATTAATTATAAACTCATTCAGCATAAACCGTATCAATACTTTTCAAAAAATACAATGTGTTTTCAGTGTTTTTGAAAAAAGTCTATTGATAAAAAAGTATTTGCTCAACATCAGTAATTATCCAATATGCGGAGAAAAATTTGCATCATTAACGAGTCAAACAGACGATTATTTGAATTGAAAAATTGAAAAAATAGAATAGTTGAGGTCATTTTAAGCAAAGCCTAACAAGAAAAGTAAATGATGCCTGAAATATGGAGATTAAAATGGGTCCAGAATCTTGGTTAGATATTGATGCGCTCTTGCCGACAAATTCCCAGGAAGAAGAATCACTTTCCTTCTCCTTTAGAGATAACACACATGGTGCTCAGAATGCTCTAATTAGGGCACTAATTATCCTTACAGATAACAATACAAATTTAGAAGGCCAAAACTTTTGACCCAAAAGTAACACAGAAAATTTTCTCACCGAAGATCAAAAGATAAATCTAATCCAATAAACGGCTTAACATCAAAGGGTTATGGCGATTCACCAATGGTGAGATACCTAGAACCAAGTGACGGTAAGGAATCAAACGAAGGACTCATTCAAACGCTGAGGAACAAAGATAAACAGTAAACCAGTAGATGGCAATACTGATCAGTTGAAAGTTTCGAGTTGAAATAATGAAATCTTTACCAAACATTGTTTTATCAATTGTTTGCATTCGAGCTTACTAATTTGAGATGCCCTACTGTAAAGTTTGAACTATGAGTGTGATTTACAATAACAAAATTAGATTAATTAGTGGGTTGATCTAACCTCCACTGATGTACCATTCGCCAGGTACATTGGTTTTCTCATTAGAATGGACAACTTTGTCGGAGTTTCTGTCTATTGATTCAAATGGTAAAGAGGAATGCCAAGGGTTTACACAGGGGCCAAAAATGGAGTCAACACCTCCACAACCCATTGCAAACTCGTCTAAATTTGCTTTGCCCACAAGTAATGCACCATTTTGACCAATTAATCTATCAACGACAGTTGCTGAATATGGAGGGATGAAATTTTCCAGCATCTTTGATGCACATGTTGTCTTTATATCCTTGGTCATAAAGTTATCTTTAACAGCAATCGGTATCCCGTCCAATACACCTAAATTTTTACCTACAAAGAGATAACAAAACAATCAAATTAATCACTTTAAGAAAGGATATTACAAAGTAAAATCAGTATTTACCTGAAGCAAAGCGTTGACTAGATTTTTCAGCTTGAGATCTTGCATTTTCTTCAGTTACTGTGATTAAACTATTTAAAGATTTAGTTTGATCAACTCTTTTTAAACACAATTCACACAATTGTGAAGGTGTAAGTTTACCAGAGATCAAAAGTCGATGAATATCACTTATTTTGGAAGACAACAGATTACTAGAAATTGACATGATGAGAATACTACTAAAAACCAAAACACTTTCAACAAGGTAAAGTAACAATTAAACAGAAGATTGCTTAATATAAATAAATAAAGGATAAAAGGATGACAATCTGCAAAAGTTGATTGCCAATCAATCCAAATCAAACAAATAATTCACTAAATGTAGAGTTTGTTTTTCCACATTATTTACCCATTATTTACACATGTAACCATGGTGAACTTGTCAACCGCGAACTTTGAATACCCAAACTTAACCCATTGAAAAACATTGCAAAATTGATTGCGAATCTTAAATAAATCGTTTCTTAAATAAAACTGAACATGATAGAGATAAAATAAAGACAAAAATAATAAAAGGTTAAATGAAGATCATCAGATTACTCAGAATGATCAAAATAATCCTCAACTAATCAAATCAACTGATGAACAAACAATTAATGATTGATTGAGAAACGGAATTATATCAGATAAATGTCGATAAAAACAAGGAAATTTATAATCATTCAATCAATAAGAAGATTATCAAGATTGTTCATACTTTAATTATTAATCTTTCAATAATATCGAGACCAATTGAATAGATTGTCGATCATTTGATCGCATATCAAAAGTAAATCATTTACCACCACAAAGAAGGATCAAAAGAGAATAAAAAAGATCAACAATCATTTCGAATTAATCACTGATTTTCACTGATTAACCAAAGAGTTTCTTATCAAAAGTATCATCATGAGATTAATTGCAATGAAACATTCAATTTATTTCAGCCTTTAAACAAAAAGAGTTAAAATTAAAAGCACATTAAATCTTCATTTTGTCAGCTTGAGCGACTACTTTTGTCGAAGTACATGTATCATGTCTAACATGCTTCAAAACCCAAACCAATGAAAACCCAATAACATTGATCAAATGGGGAAAACAAATTTGACTTTCGATTTAAGAGTTGGGACTTTGTGGGTTTGTGGGTAAACATAAAAACTGAGTCCATTAGCGCTATGAAACAATTTATCCGATCGAAGGTGAAACTATGAATGCCTTTTGATCAATTATGAACCAGATGGTTGGTACTAAAAAGACATAATCAACATAATATCCACACTTATGAACGAATTGACACAAACGGGCAAAAACAGGTGAGAATCAATTTCTTTCAAATTTAGACTTTGTTGGTTTGTAAAGACATGAAAACTTAGTCCATTTTTGGTATTTAAAAGTTTCTCTGACTCACAGTTTTGGAGGAAATCATGATCGAAGTTTCAACTTCGATAGCCTTTTATTCCGCTATGACAGGTGATTTTCTCATAAAACTTATTACACTGATGTAATTTTTGATGATCAACCAGAAAATGTACTTATTTTGAGAAAATACATTTACTGTTTTCTGTGCAATAGATCAGTTCGATTTTTAGTAAACACGGCCACATTTAGTAACCGTAAGAGTTTGAGAGCTGAAACTTATCAACAGTCCATAAAAATTGCAGGTAAACATAACGGAGTAAATACCTTTATCAATTTACTAACAGTTCCCTTGATTTTGATCTTTGGTGTTAAAACTTTGGACCTAAATATTTCGAGAATGGCATCACCTACAGCAATCATTCTTTCACCAATGCAATTCTGCACCAATTAATAATTTGTTTCAATTCAATAAATTTCTATTAGCGTATTTCTGGCATGGTTTTTGGGGTTTAAATGCACGAGAAACATCTAATTAAACAAACTAAACTCACATTAACACATATCTTGGTAAGAAAAGCAATTTTCTGGTTAAAATTATAAATGAAATACAAAGAATGCTGCCAAAGTCTCGAACATTTGATTACAAAGTTGAGACTCGCTGGGGTTTATAAAGATATAAAAACTGTGTCCATAGGTGCAATTAAATAGCTCATACGATGGACAGTTTTCGAGAAAATCGAAGTCAAAGTTGAAACTTCGATCGACTTTTACTCAGGTATGGCAGCAAATTTTTTCATTAAACTTATTACCCTGATGTAACATTTGATGAGCAACCAGAAAATGGTCTTATTTTGCGAAATAACTTTTTCTGTTTCTCCAAAACAGATCAAGTTCGAATTTCGATTAAACTGACCGAATTCTGTGTTTGTTTGAGTTATCGAGCTGAAACTTATTATTAGTGCATAAAAATTGTTGATAGACATCATAAATTAAATAATTTTTTCCATTTGCTAAGGGTTCCTTTGTTTTTCGGCCATTGGTCCAAAAACTTTAAACCTTAATATTTCGTGAATGGCATAATTTACAATCATCATTCTTGGCCAAACATAAGATTTTATAATTGGCTATAATTTTTTGAAATACTGGAGCATTCAAGATTCTTGGAGAAAAGTTATAGCATTGTAATATTTAGGTTTCAGATTTGAGATTTGGTTTATTGCTAAACACAAATTTTTAGTGTTTCAAGTATTTTTAAATTAATTAAATGGATTATCTCAGATTGCATTCGGTTTTCAAACATATACAGTTCTAGCTCACACCGAAATCTGTTGTTTGGTCAAGAATGATGATTTTAGATGATGCCATTCACAAAATATTTAGGTTTAAAGTTTTTGGACCAATGACCAAATAACAAGAGAACCTTTAGGAAATTGGAAAAATTATTTCATCCATGATGTCTACCAACAATTTTTATGAACTAATAATAAGTTTCAGCTCGATAACTCAAACAAACACAGAATTCGGTCAGTTTAATCGAAATTCGAACTTGATCTGTTTTGGAGAAACAGAAAAAGTTATTTCGCAAAATAAGACCATTTTCTGGTTGCTCATCAAATGTTACATCAGGGTAATGAGTTTAATGAAAACATTTGCTGCCTTAGCTGAATAAAAGTCGATCAAAGTTTCAACTTTGACTTCGATTTTTACAAAAACTGTCCATCGGCTGAACTATTTAATTGCACCTATGGACATAGTTTTTATATCTTTACAAACCCCAACAAGTCTCAACTTTTAACTCAAATGTTCGAGACTTTTGCAGCATTCTTTGTATTTCATTTATACTTTTAACCAGAAAATTGCTCTACTCACCAAGATATGTGTTAATGTGAGTTTATTTTGTTTAATAAGTTGGTTATCGTGCATTTAAACCCCGAAAATCATGACACAAATACGCTAATAGAAATTTATTGAACTGCATTAAATTATTGATTTGTGCAGAATTGCATTGGTGAAAGAATGATTGCTCCAGGCAATGCCATTCTCGAAATACCGAGGCTCAAACTTTTAACAATAAAGGTCAAAATCAAGACAACTGTTAGTAAATTGACAAAAGTATTTACTGCGTGATGTCTACCAGCAACTTTTCTAGACTGTTGATAAGTTCCAGCTCGATTACTCTTATGGTGACTAAATGTGGTCGGTTTAAGTGAAATTTGAACGTGATCTGTTTCGCGAAAATAGAAAAACTTCTTTTGTAAGATAAGACCATCTCCATGTTGCTCATCAAAAGTTGCACCAGTTTATTAAGTTTCATGAAAAAATCACCTGCCATAGCTGACTAAAAGTCGATCGAAGTTTCAAACTTGACTTCGATTTTTACAAAAACTGTCCATCGGATGAAGTATCTAATTACACCTAAGGACACAGTTTTATTATCTCTACAAACCCCAGCGAGTCTCAACTTTTTACTCAAATGTTCGAGACTTTGGCAGCATTCTTTGTATTTCATTTATAATTTTAACCAGAAAATTGCTTTGCTTACCAAGATATGTGTTAATATGAGTTTAGTTTGTTTAATAAGATGTTTATCGTGCATTTAAACCCCGAAAATCATGACACAAATACGCTAATAGAAATTTATTGAATTGCATTAAATTATTGTTTAGTGCAGAACTGCATTGGTGAAAGAATGATTGCTGTAGGTGATGCCATTCTCGAAATATTTAGGTCCAAAGTTTTAGCACCAATTATCAAAATCAAGAGAACTGTTTGTAAATTGACAAAAGTATCTACTCCGTGATGTCTACCGACAATTTTTATGGACTCATAATAAGTTCCAAGCTCGGTAACTCTTACGGTTACTAAATGTGGTCGGTTTAACTGAATTTCGAACTTATTCTGTTTCGCCGAAATAAAAAAAGTTATTACACAAAATAAGACCATCTCCAGGTTAATCATCAAAAGTTGCACCAGTGTATTAAGTTTTATGAAAAAACCGCCTGCCATAACTGAACAACAGGCTATCTAAGTTTCAACTTTGATCTCGATTTCTGTGAGTCAGATAAACTTTTCAATATTAAAAATGGACTCAGTTTTCATGCCTTTACACACCAACAAAGTCTAAATTTGAAAGAAAGTAATTTGTACCTGTTCAAGCCCATCTGTTTCGATTCGTGCAAAAATCTTATAATTGTGTCTTTTTAGTAACAGCCGAACCAGATTTTCTCAGTCAACTCATTTTTCTGGTTTGACTAACCAGGCTTACCAGTAAATGCACTCATTTTTGGAAATAATATTTCTTTTCTGTATAACAGACTAGTTCGATTTTGTATTGAACCTGACGCTTCGAGTTTGAAGCCTAAACTTATTTTTGAAGGTAAAAGTTGTTGGTGCACATCAAAATCAAACACTTTTCAATTTAACAACAGTTTACTTGAGCTTGGCCATTGGCCTAAAACTTTGAATATAAGTGTCTCGAGAATGGTGACATCTACAATCACCATTTTTCGACCAATTATTAAACTCTACAATGGGTTATACAATATAATATGACTGAATACTCAGGAAAGTTGACCTAATTCCTGTAATAACAAATATCCTTGTAACACATCACAAGATTTGTGTGTTGAGTAACCATTTACCTTAAATCAAATATGAAATCCGACAACAGAAGTAATTCAATGCTTATAACTTTACATAATCTTGAGCCATCTAATATCAGGATAAATTTTTCAATAGCACTAATGGACTCAATTTCAATGCCTGTAACAACCCTCAAAGCGCCAACTCTTAGCTCGAAAGAAAAATTTCTTTACATTTACTCGTTTTTTTTATATCAAACTAAATGATGAAATACAAAATTTTGAAATCGGTAACTTTCAATAGTTCGGAATTTATCGTTATTCACGCAGAAATTTGATCAAACAAAATCAGAAAACTTATCCATTGCAAAGTGAAATTTTATTTGCTTTCACCATTTTACCCTGATTTTCTGATTTTATTTTTTCTCCTCTTTACTTTAAGCAAATACTTTTCATTTGTAAATAATATTTTATGTATTTCCCAATGAATAATTCAATATATTTCAATACATATAATACAAATTAAAGTTAATATACCATGAAGACTGAAAGACATCATTTTTCAATATAAAACATAAAAGCTATTGATACGGAAATAATACATATTTTAAGCAAAGAAATGTGAGGATTGTTCAGCGACTAAATCAAACAAGTAACTTTTTATTCAAATCAACTGAACACTTGATGAGCATAAATACTTGGTCTTGTATCAAAATGAATTTTAATTAAAATTGAAAGATTGATTTGGAAATTTCAAGTCAAGTGTTTACATTTGTTGCAACATTCATTTTCAATTTCATTTCTTGTTCATCAAATTTCTAGGAATTTTCATGGCAAAATTTTATTCAAACCAAATGAGATTAACACTGATTCAACTAATTAGCCAATCTGTCAAATCGTGGGTTTCAAGTTGCTCTTGTTTCGAAGTTACCTTTGGTTTCATTAATGAAGAACCATTAATTTCAGTTTCTTCTTGATAACTTGAAATGTCCATTTAAAATTGCATTTGAATTTATTGAAAGCTAACATGTTTTACCAATTGAAACTGCATGTTAACTATCAGCTATTTTGGGAATTCATGTTATTGCTGTTGAAATAACTGATGAAGTGATTCTTTGGTGCAAACATTCAAAGCATTCCAAAGTTTACCTAAAGCTCTTGACCGGAAGGTAAACATATCAAACATGAACTCAACTGAATTTATCAATTATCAATCTTGCCTTATATCAATGAAGAAGAGCTCAATTTCCGTACTGAACATATAAACCCAAATCTTCCAAGCAAATCACCAACATGATCAAAGTCAGAAAAGTTGATGTTATTGTTTTCAGTCAATTAAATGTGATACCAAATTGACCCATTTAACTATATTTATTAACATCTAATTCTTGAAGTTAACATTTATGAATATCATGTCAATTGACATCACCATTTAACCTAGATAACTCTTATCACTGATGGTCAACCTCAACAGAAGACCAAATTCAATGTTAAAATCAATTTTTAATTTTTTCATGTTTACACGGAAACGCCATTTACGAATCCAATTGATTGAACAGCAATCAATGAGAGCGTTCAGAATAAATGATTAAAGATGAAGCCAAGTTAATCAAAGAAATGAATGAAAATGAAAAGTTGACCAAAAAATAATCTCTTTTCTCAGGTGACTGAGATTATTGAATGAAAACGATAACTCCAACATCTTTCATCGCCTAATGAAATCAACTCCAGGAAATCAACAAGTTTCACATGAATCTGTGTCTGGATGCCTTTTTTTTGTTTTGATTAAGCAAACTGTTCATTTTACATGATAAAATTAGGCAAAGCTGAGTAAATAAATGCTCAGTTTAATTCAGTTTGCTTTTTATATTAAATATATCGTATTATAAATATATTTTTCCTCGAGGAACATTCCAAATGAAAGACAACTCCATCAATGATCGTTAGTTGAAAGTCATTAGTTAAAATGCATGGAAACATTTCAATTTAATTAAACTTTTTCTTCTTCTTCTTCTTCCGTTGAATCAATAAATTCTGACAATTCTGCAAGAGAAATGATGAATTTTTTCTCAATTTTCCAATCTCATAGTTTAAGCTTCTTAGTTCATCAAATGGTTATTTAGTTGCTGTTTATCATTTAACTGCACGTGACTCAATCAACACTGAAATTTTCATCATGAAAAGAACCGAGAAAAGTTCCTTTTTTTCTCTTCTTTTCATTCCTTCCTTCAAAACATTGATCCATTAAAAGAGCATTTTGTTTAATTCACTTTTTGTATTCATCAAACACTTCCAGGCAAACTTAACTAACAACTTGAATGTTGTTCATGATAATTCAAATGTTAACACCAAAAAATATTGACTTTGTTTGAATTTTTATACCCTTTACTTGTATACAAGACTCAATAATACTGGTTGACGTTATTGCTTTCATAGGAAACCTTTTAATGATGAACATTATTATCGACTAATTATATTGAATAGATCGGAAATGAATTTATTTGATTAGTCTTTTTGTTTCTCTGGTTACATGTGAAGGTAACAATATTGATTACCTAAAATTGTTTACTTCAATTATTTACTTCGCCAGCTTAGGTGGGTTCAATATGTTATCCATAAAAAGGACAATTTATTTTGGACTTTTAAAGTGAATGTGACTTGAAAACAAAAGTCACCTGAGATTCATCAATTTAACTACATTTATTGGAGGAAAGTCTCAAATTCTTACCTGGATAGAGTAGAATGGAGATAAAAACTGAAAAAAAAAATGAAACCAGAAACCAGAAAAGGTTCAACTGATAAAAATAATGGATCAAAAGGCAGTATTGATTGAATACTAACATTTATTTAGTTATTTTATTGTATTTAATTTTGTACTTTTGTCAATCTTGATGAACTTTTTTTTTTATTTTGTTGAACTGTTCAAATTAATTGAATATTATCAATCAACTTGTAGGAGACAGTTTAAATTGAATTTTCAGCCTTAGTTTAATGTTGCAGTTTCAGGAGGCATTTGGAATTAAGAATTGAAAATTTTAACATTTAAACCATTTAAGAGAGTAAATAATTGAAGCCGATGATAATTTAGGTTTAAGGTTTGTTTGTCCGTAGGAAAAGGATCACAAAAGATTAATGCTGAATTTTTTATTCTCCATGTTTTCGTAACTTGTATACAAAATTGATGATGTTTATTATTATTACTTTGTATTATTGTATTAGCCAGGTTAATCTGTTAAATTACAGGGTAAATAATTGATTCATCTCATTAAATATTATGGTTTGTTTTAATCTGGTTGCTGACAAGAAAATTTCATCAACAACGTGATGACAAGTTGCTAATATTTTTTTATAAATTAACATTTTCTTCTGCATTTCCTGATTAATATGTTGAATGTTGAATATAATTTCAGATTATAATATATTATACAATAATATCATACAATTTTATTGATACACCTTTTCATGGTTCAATATTTTTGCCTTTTTTACGCTTTCAATGAAAAAAAATATTCTGTGGCAATATTGATAATGGTAAACTTTTCTGGTTAAGTTGGATATATTTTATTAATCCCAAGTGGATCATGGGTAATCAATGTATTAAATATTCAGGTGTTTTAATGGTTGAAATGTTGGTGTTTTTTTGTTCAGGTAATTGGTATAAATGGATGTGAATTGAATCAAGTGAACTGGGAATGATGAATTATATTAAGAAGCGATATTACAAAAAGAAAGGTTTAGTCTTTTATTTATCATTGTATAATAAATATGGTGAATTGAATGGTGAGGCAAAAATTTTTTCAGTTTTGCTTTTTGTAACAATGTGAAATGAAATGTAACACTGACATTTGAGATTAGCTTTATTATTGATATTTTAGATGTTTTTGATGTTGATTGAATGGTTTTGAGTAAGATAAAATATCTGGTTGAATTAATTTTTCCTCATGAAACTAGTGTCTGGTTTTTGTTTTCTGGATTCGCTTGAGTTGGTTTCAAGATTAAAATTTGGGAAAATTGGTTGCTGTTGAGTCTCTGAAACTCTTGGAACTGGTAGAATTGATAGGTCGATGGGAACTTGAATGGGCTGAGGAACCATTCAGATCATTGGTGAAAACTGGATAATTGGCTTTTTTACAGAAACATCGAAAGAGGCATTTGTCGAAATGTGAACGAAATGATCCGGAAACAATGTATAGAGCAACTGGATTTAGACAAGAGTTGCCAAATGCAAGGATGAAACCAACGATTCTCAGGTAATGCCAGAAGGGTGTCAAGTAGGTGAATAGGTTTGGATAAAAGTAAAATCCAATCATGAAAACATGATTAGGGAAGAAACAGAATGCAAAAAGTATGATGAAAGAGAGCACTGTTTTGGCTACTTTGGTTCGAGCCTTGGTAAGTCGCAAGTGAGTCTGGTTGGCACTATTAGAGAAACCAGAGGGACCAGTGCTGGAGAGGAGGTAACGAGCCATGGCTAGGTAGAAGATGCTGATGATGAAAAGAGGAAGAGCGTAAAGGATAATGAATTTGGTAAGAACTATAAATTTAGCATAATTGGTACCAAGAGAGGCTGGAAACGGGTAGCAAACGTAAATGGTTTTATCTGGAGTAATCGATAATTGAAGGACAAATGAATTGTAAGCTCCAGGAAAGGCAAGTAGACATGAGACTAGCCAAATGAAACCAGCTATTGCTAAAGTTAGCTCTTTGTGTCTGCTTGAGGTAAAACGTCGCAAGGGAAGGACAATGGCCATGTAACGGTCAGCAGAGAGAACAGTCAAACTGAATACAGTTACACCCATGGAGACATCACGAAAAAATTCAGATAACTTGCACAGAAAAGAACCATAAGGCCAAGAATCAAAGCTATAGATTGTTGACACAAAGGGTAGAGATCCGGTTATGATGAGAAGATCTCCAATTGAAAGGCTGATTATGTAGGTATTTGGAATGGTTCTCATTGTTTTATTTCGTAAAAATACATAGACAATCGTTCCATTGCCAATGAGACCGACTACAAATAAAATTCCAAAAATCAAGGGAACAATATATGTTTCTGGGCGACTTTCGTAGGGAACATAAGAATCTTCATAGTCTTCCAAAGTGATTGATAGATTCGTTGAGTTTGTCGTTGGGTCGATGAATGGGTTGAAAGCAGATAGTGAAGGCAATGATGATGGTGGAAGAGTTGAAAATGTGTAATCCCAAGATTGGATAGAGGGAACTTTTGATAAGTTTGAATTGAGTTCAAAAAAATTGATGGAATAATAACTCGATACAGGTGATACATCGTTTAAAATTTGGATAATTGTTTCGTTTGACATTTTTCTGGGTTTGTGACTTTCCAAATAACTCAAGGAATATTGCGAGAAATGCCAAATAATCTTAAGCAATCGTTATTTCTGGGTGAATTAGCGTCCATAGATGTTGAAGATCGCTTAAAACATGAACAAGTATACGGAATGGAACAGATAACTGGTAACTTTTTATCCAATGGATGCTCATTCTACACTTGTAGCTTTCAATTCCGTTCACACTCAGATGATGATCACAGTACAGGATAAAACTTGGAACTGTAGACTATTGATGATGACAACTGTTAATACTAGAATCATGTTCCATGGTTAATGTTCACTGAGCAATGGTAAAGGTTTACATTGCCAACCCCATGTGATGGTATTAGTTTTTTGTTATGTGAACATGAGGAAATCAGGAATCGTAAAACTTTAGTCTGAGGCATTTTCTGCATAAGATCCTCTGGTTTCTGTAAAATATTTCCGATCTCGTGGATCATCCAGATCTTTAATTCCATTTGAAGGTTTAATGTTGATGAGGAAGTCTTGATTAATGATAAAATGTTTTTAAGAGTGTTCCTGTTTTTAACTTCAACAAAAGATTGATTATAGAAACTTTGTTGTTGATGAACAATCATTAATAGATAGCGTAAAATCAAATGTTGGAAATGAAGGAACTGATGAGTTAGTTGAATTATCTCTTATCATTAATTGAATAATTGAAAAGATGCGAAACAATATAATGAAACACGAAACAGTCCAATAAAAGTAAACATTTATTTTTAATAGATTTCTCTCGCTTTTTTAGAATCTTTTTATAATTTTTTAAAATTTTCAACAATAGATGGCGTATAAAATTTGATTAAGATATGAAAGAGTTACAAAGTGAACAAAGTAACCGATAATTTTATTTTACGTCATAATTGGTCGTTAATTAATTACACAAAGAAACATCTGTTTTTCCCGCTCTCTTTAAGCCTTTTTGGAATCAGAGTTTCATTTCTCTTTCAAATCATGTCTTTTTGTTTTTTTAGTCATCATGTAAACTTTTTGTCTTATTTTAAAGCTGTGTCAATTGTACTAGTCATCATTTTATGCAATCTTCATTTTCACCATTTTTATCAACAGTGACATAACAGTGATCATCTATTATTATTCTAATATTTTAAATTAGTGTCTCAAATTTAGTGCTACTTGTTCTAAATTCCAGCCTCTTCACCTTTAATTTCAATTTCTTTTTGTGTCGTGTCTTTAAATTGGGTCTTCAAAAATCATGGTTCCTTACAGAGATCTGTTGAATAGATTTGATCAAGAGATAAAACATATCAACATGCACATGAAAAGATTGGCAATAATTAGAAAAGATCTTTTTGATTTGATTGGCTCTTCTGATTCACGGAAAGTATCTCAAGAAACTTTGAAGATGAAAGGACTTACTCGAGTTTACAAATGTAATATAAAAGACTGTATGTTTCTCGTCCAGGATGACGCTGATTTGAAAAGACATTTTGCCAAGTCCCATGTAAACGAGGAAACTCCAAGTATCGGCGTCCTTGATTCCCATGTTATAGCTACTCAAGTGGCGAACGCTTTGGTGAAATGGTTTGCTCGCCAGAAAGAGGTTCGATCACAAACTGAGAAGGAAGAAGAGCCACTGCCTGACAAGACTGAACCAGCCAAAGGAAAATCTCCAAACTCAGAAGACGATGAGATGACCGAATAGTCGCTGTAGATCAGCTTCAACCATTGGACCGTTCGTTTTTCATCTCTAAAATGAGTTGAATAAGTCAAGTCCTAGATAAGTTAAAACCAAGTCCAATCTTTATAAATGTATAAAGAAAACTATCACTTAATATTAATCTTGAAACTTTTTTATATATTTTTACGGTAAGAATCAAGCCGTATTTTAATTTTCTAACTACTAGATTTGATATCAGCTTTCAAGTGTTCTCATCCATGAAGATTTTCATTGAAATCAAAATGAATTTTCAACTAAACGCTGAATTTTTTTGTCCAATGTAAATCTTACCTAAACTGTCAATATAAATAAATGACAACTCATTTCCTTCATCATAAATGTTGGCTTCACAGCCTTTTCATTTTCATCGGTACACTTTACTTGTGTGATACAATTTACTAGGCCAAAATCAATACGATATTTTATACTTAAGTTATTGTTAGAAAAAACAAGAGATGACAGAAAATCAGAATAAACCTCTGTAAATAACTGTTCACTCGAGCTTAGAGCTATTGATATTATACCTCCAGATTTTAGCCATATGTCTAATTAGACTTGTAAGTCTAATGTGTAAATAAAAAGTTGTAAATTAGCGATCTAGACTTTGAAATTAGATCTGAAACTAAAGTCTAATTGAATTTAGACTTTCGTCTAGACTTTAGGCTTTAACTTTTCTGATACACGCATAGCTCATTGATTTTTTCAAGTTCATCTTGTTTATTATTACTATCTTTCATTTCATTTCATTTTTAGTTGAAATGACTATTCATGAAAGGATCATTATGTGGAGTCTATCGGGCGATTCCAGAAAATGGAACCACAAGTTATTTGATTCCATTAAATCAAAGTCAAAATTCCTGCACTTTAATTGCAAGAATTTAAATGTTAGACTTTTAGCTGTAGTCTGAAATCTAGACTTTTAGAAGCTGAGTCTAGCTATACTTTGTATAAAATAAAAAATGACCGATGTTTTATTGTAAAATCATTTTTCTTTGTAGCCTAATCGACAATATTAGATGATTGATTAGCAGGGTAGAATCTTTTTCTCCACCTTCAAGCTCTGCCTCAGAATAGATTCAATAACAATAATTTTGAATAATGAAATAAATTTTAAACTTTTCCCTCATTGTGCATGCATAATGAAACAGAATATGATCTCGCCCTATGATATAATTTGTGTTATTAATATTTCATTCCAAAGACAAGCAGAACAATTACTCCAATGACCAGTTTCACTTTAATTTCAACAAGATGTAATTGGATTGTTTCATCTCTGTTTTGGTCAAGCTTTGGATAAACGGATTCAGCTGTTAACCAAATGGCTTACCGTGGACAGGATAGGAATAATTTCGGAATCTCTGAGAATCGCTCTTTTTTGCTCAATGGTTACATTATTGGCGAACAAAGAATCAAAAAATTGTATTTGAAATGGATCCTGGGAACAACTATAGTCCTGCTTATGCCGATTGGACAATTTTATCGCTGCTTCCTTACTTTCTACTATCCTGAATATGGCTCGATCTCAAGAAATGTCAACTATATCTCCATGCTGTTAAATTTAACCATAACATTGACACAAGCTATCATCATTTTTAGATTGAATTGGGATTATTTCTGGTCTTATATTGATTCACTGGAGCTGTTAAACATACCAAGTTATGATAAACTGAGAAAGCAAATTCAACGGAAAAGGATCGTCAAAATATTTATGTTTGCGTCAATTTTATTAATTTATAAGGCTCCTGAATTTATATACACACCGTGGCATTATAATCGATTTACAATAATATTTCATTTAGCGCGTTATGTTGGTCATTTTTTCATTTTCATCATTTTAATTGACATCTGTATTTGTTTACAAGCAGCATTTGAATCTGTTAACAAGCAAATTGTTTCATGTTGCTACAATAACAAGCAAAGACTTCTATTAAAGCATTTGCTGTATTACCGTCAATGCTGGTTTCATGCTTTGGAAGCAACTCAATCTGCCGAGAAATTTTTACGCCATTATGTTACCTTTTTTTACGTTCGCTTTGCAGTTCACACTGTTTTGAATCAAATTCACCTCTTTCACCACCTTAAATCATCACAGTTTTCTGATGTCTTTTACTTCTTAATCGTCACATTCACCAATGCCATACTAGTTTGGTACATAACTGCAAATATGATTGCTGTTAATACTTTCTCGCAAAATTCCCTGGAAGAGTTGTATGAGCTGACATTTAAGACAGATTCAATCATTTTGGAGCAACAGGTAAAATTCAAGATTAAAACGATATAAGCATGAATAATGATTGAATATTTTTATTTCTTGCAGATTTACATGTTTCTTGATCAGATATCAAAAACCGATGCTGGATTTACTTTTGGTAATCTTTTCCTAATAGCTCCCAATTTCATAACATCCTTCTTTACACTAACATTGACTATTACCATTGCCTTTTTAAGCTACCTTTAATAATATTCAATGTAAACATTTGTCACTCACAAAAATGAAACCTCAAATATTGAATAAGATGTAATACCATTACATAGCACTGAATTTGTCTAAATTGCACCTTATAAGTTGGCTCAATCCTTCATTTACACTTTTCCACTTTACACTAATATTTAAATTCTGTTGTCTTTAGTCCATCTTATTTGCATTTTAATCCGAGCACATGATTAACTAATTTGATCATTCACTAGGCAAAGAGTAGTAATTAAAAGTTTAATTTTCAATCATTTGGAAAATCTGCCCTTTAAATAAAGCGCTCTCTGTTGGCTTGTACAAGAAAATAATCATGAAATGTGTCTATAATTCGTTAGATGGCTGCACTTGAAAGCTTTGAAATATTCGCAAAAAAGGCGCTTTTCAAGCTGTTTTAAACCATTAGTTAGGAATTAATCAAATCTCGTGTTTTTAAACTGCTAAAGAATTAATTCTCGGACATCAATCAATCAATCAGTTTTCATAATTTCACCAATTCGCATTGATCATCTAGCAAACTCAGTAGTTACACTGAAATCGTGAAATGTGTGACTGTAAAGTAGACAAAACAGTTATCAAACTGTCCTGTTTTTGATTTATCGATGAATAAGTATACACCCATATTGTTAGACAACAGTTTAGCGAACCGTGATAATTGAACTCGTGGCAGATTAGACTCGTGATTAAAATGGTTACTAAACATTAACAAATCCGTTTAAACGAGAAATGGGTGAGAAAAATAAGCCTTAGCTGTGAAAGAACTGTGATTAACCTGTTACTAACTGAATTGGTATTAATCTTGGGATTACATGTGCTTTCCTAGGAATCCTTTGATTTTTGTGCCTTTAAAGTTTAGACTAGATCACGCCTTCTAAGAAGCAGCTCAATATGAAATTAAGCCAATTCTCAAGAATAAAATTAATTGTAATCTAATTGCTCAGCCCATAATTTCGCTATTTTCAGTCCTTTCTCACCAGAATAATTTGATCCAAAAAATATCCTTTTTTTCTGATTACTCAGATGAGTGTATAATGGGCAACATGGATGAGAATTCTTGGTTACCATTGATTTGGTTCCAATTAAATGACATCTGATTCCTGTGAATGAAACACGATGACAATTGATTGCAAATGATGATAATTGACTTCATTTATTCACAAGGATTTACCATATTTGTAAATATTATCAATACATTTGTTTTTAAATTCATGGTTTTCATTACATCATGAAATGCAGCCAATTTAGCAGGAATATGAGAAAAAGCAGCTGATCGATATTCACATAGGAATCATTTATTGATTTATCAAATTGTCCTCCTGATTTCCCCCATTAGTGATCTCATTGATTTTATATTTGTGCAACGTTTTAATTTAAAAGGTAAATTACTGTAACACAAAGATATTACTCTCAATCACATCAGTCGTTTACAGAAAATTATAAACGTGAATTGACAAATGTTGGCAAATAAATCATTTTATTGAGATTTGATATAATTGATCGTTTATTGGGTCTTTTTTCATTCCTTTGTTATTATTGAGTTTGTGTTGACGAAACAATCTGATTGCTGGAAAGATATTGAAATTCAATATTTTCCACAGGGAAACAGTTTTTAAAATCAAAATGGTTGTTTATTTTTGTTTTTCATCACAAAGCATACAATAGCAAAAAAACATTTATTAAATTACCAGTGATTTGACAAAAAAAACCTGAAATTGCAAACAAACATTTTACATGTAAATTGTTACTTGAACAATATATGGTGTCCATTGAATGATTATTATAATCAAATATGTAGGTAGCTTGGCTGCTTTCAAAACTTTCATCCAACAATTACAGATTATTTAGATTATATAAAGGTTACAGATTGTTATCCAAGAAAAAGGATAAAAGATTATTTAGTTTAATGACTAGCTTATTATTAATCTGCAATGATTTTCTTGATTTTTTCGAGTTTACTTTGAATCAAGATGATTATTGTTGATTGTTGATGTTCAAATTGATTTGTTGCATTGCTTGTTACCCCATCAATTGATTTGAACGTTTTAGTAATTTGCAGCTAGGAAGTCGATTATTCAGCTTAATACAAATGAGATTCATTTTTATCAGCTTACAATTTTGTTTCTTTTGATACAATCTAATATTAATACGTTGAATTGGATTAACGAGGTTGGAAAGAAAGTTACTAGAATCAGTTTATTATTTTTTAAAGATGAAAATAATAATAATATAATTATATAATTATTATTATACTATCAAACTACTGATCAGGGATAAAATTTATCAGAAGTACTTGGAAACAGAAAGAGAGAGAGAAAAAAAAAGTCGAATTGAATTTAATGACTTTGCCATTCATGACTACGCATGGTGAATGTTTGGGTTGCTGTGATCTTCTCGCTTCTCCTCATTTTCATTCAATCTAAAGTTCCTTAATTTCTATCTTTCTCTGAGAAAAAAGACGAAAGAATTATTCAGATGAAGCAATAAAAAAAGGAAGGTGAAAGTCAAATAAACAAAATTCTGTCTATCAAAAAAGAAAGATATGGAGTGAAAGAGACATTCATATGTGATTAGCAATATGTAATATAAGCTATCAAGGCTGAGATTTACCATTGTCTAGCTTTCCTATTGTGTGTATATGTTTGTTATGTATTCTCTCTGAATAGAAAATTGTGGTCACAGAGGAAACAATCAATAGATACAGGGAGTGAAAGAATGCATAATAAACAGAAAAATGAAGGGTAGAGAGAGAGAGAGAGAAGAGAAAAAGATCAGGAAAATAAAGAGTGGAAAGAAACATGAAAGAAGGTGAGAAGAGAAAACAGTACAATTGGAAAAATGACTCAAAATTTGGCGAAATGATAAGACTAAGGCAAAGAAAAAGGCAGAAGGGCAAGAAGAGCAGGAAAGGTATGAAATGAGAAATAAGAATGATTAGAGTTGAGGATGATTAGTCTATACAATGGATTTACAAATAAAATCACAAAGACGTTTTCCATATTGATCAGGATGAACGGTTGAAATTTCTGCGGAGGTCCCATGTTTGACACTCTTTGCAGCTTGTGCAGTCCTTTTCCTCAAACCATATTGAGTCAGAATATCAACAAGACCCATGAAATATATTTCCTTTTTACCACTTTCTGTTAAAGTAATAGAAAAAAATGTATGAGTATTTTCCTATAATCTCACGAAAAAGCATAAATACAAATGTTTTTTTATAAATAAATGATATATTCAACACAATGTGTGAAGAGTAAATGTCAGGGTAATAATGGTTGATTTTTTGTTAGCTCTTATTTACTCTTCTTTTATATTATTGTTGAAAAGAAAAGGGGGAAAGAATGCATTATTTATTCAGCATTCAATCAGAAAACTAACCTGGATTACTTTCAATAGCATAAATATCTCGTTTAGGATCGATTGGACCTTTGTTGGAAAGTTCATTTTCACTTGCATTGGAGCTTTTGTGTTGAAGTCTGGGTGAATCTGGGGGTGTTGGTACCATAGGTAAATCTCCTGTACCAGAAGCAGAGGGAGAACCAGGTATGGGTGGGAGAGAACCTTGATTACCTCCACTTGATTCACCGTCATCTTCTTCACTACATGCATTTCCAGATGCTGCATATTCGACCAGTTCTTGCTCATATTTGTCACAATCGTGGATACCAAGACACAAAGAGTAGTCCATCAAATTCATACCAGAAAGAAATTTTGTATCAGCTTCTAACATTGTAAGGAAATTTTGTTTCGCTTGAGATGGTAATTGCAAAGTGATAGCATCTTTAACGAAGTCATTATCTTTCAATGTTGGCAATGGCTTTTCCCTTTCCTTTTCACTTGCTTCCCGATCAACAGTTGAGCCTTTTAAGTCGTACTTTTTGTGTATAGGTATTGGCGCTGAGAGTATGTTTCTAATCACAACAACATACGTTTCCGTTGCTTCAACTGTTATCCTGTACATCCCTAGATATTGGGGCAATAAAGTTTTGCCATGTCTTTCAACAACATATGGATGGTATGATTTGAGAAATGAGTGCATTTGCTCAACTTCCTCCGAAGTAAGGGTTTTAAGAAGAAGAAAGTTATCATATGATCCATAGAATCGAGCCCCAGAACGACCAGAAGATTCACCAAACGCTTCAGGTTGACATTTAGTAAGACTTCTAAGATATTCCGTGTCACTTATACAGAACCTAAGGAGATGAATAATAGAGCAAGAGAAAAGCGTTATCAAGAGAGAATAGTTGGACTACTATATTATTGTTGAAAATTATTTTTCTTCCCGCATCTCTTATCCTTTCAAGACTCATAACAAAAAGTTAATCAAGCAAAGGAGTAGATATCACAGTTAAGTGTTGATAAAAATTGAACAATAAAAAACTAGAAAGATTTGTCTGGCACCACAATCAGATAAGAATATGTTTTAACACTGGCTTTTTAAAATACTTGAAGAAGATAGAACAAACCTTTCTCTTAGATTTCTGAATACTAAGGGACAATATTCTTTGAATTTAAAATGAGACGGCATATTCTCTTTATTGAAAAGATGATTATCAACTCGTATTTTGGTGTATGCCTTGAAGTCATCGGGCATCAACATGACAGGTATATTAACATGTGTTAACTCATTGATAGTATGGTTAATTCCCCACATAAAAACGGAGAGAAGAGGTTCAGAGGCTCTGAACACTTTGGCTTTCTGATGTTTAACTTTAAGATGTTTCTTTTTCAATTTGGAGCTTCCCTTGTAAGACATGGTAAAAGATGATAGATGAGGGCTTATTTTCAACAAGAAAAGGAAGAACAAAACAAGATGATGATCAATGTACTTCTAGTAAGTGTAATTTATAATGATTTTTTAAAACCAACGGTTACTGACAATAACCACTAAATAAGGTTAACAAAGAGAGCAAAAAATCACAATAGAAAACACGAATAAGTGACAATCGATCAGATGAGAATTGATCAATTTAATGGTAAATTTTATGAGAAAAGGAATAGATAAATAAACCCAAAAAAATAATGAAATTAAACAGTGAAAAGTAAACGCCATCTTACGAAACAAAAGAACACTATCAAAGGGGAAGCAATTTGATCGTCAAAATCCATCAATTACTATTAATTGCTTATGAATAAAGAAATGACTTGATGACAAAAAAATCTGCTTGATAATTGGGCGATCACCAGATCATGATCACAATTTATTCAAACTGGGGGGTTACTTTTTTCACTGGAATTAAACCAATCGCTCGTAATGATCTCATTTAATCTCAACTATAATATCAACAATCAAAATTAAATTGAAATCATTCCATGATAAAGTCTATTGAAACAGCAATCAGAAATGAAACCGGAAAGTTTTTACTGAATCAGATTTAAATAATTAACAGATTGAAACAACAAGAAAATAGAAAAGAATGGAAAATTGAAATGAAAATGATAAGGAAAATTAGTCGATAAGTTAATGAACTTTCACGATTGGAATATTTTAAGGTTCAAATTTGATTAAACATTTCTGATCGTTTTATTTCAATTTTTAATCAACTTTACAATTTACAATTTGTATTGGATTTTACATTTAACGTTTGATCTGATAGATGGCTCTGTGTCTAGGAAAAAAACATATGGATATATTTTGCTTTGAAAATATCTTGCCTTTTCTAGCTCAATGGGTAAAGGTGTGATCATATGATTTAGAGGTTCTGAGTTCAAATAACTTGTCAAAAGATTACAATTGTTTAGTTGATATCCTGCAATTTGATTGAAATTAACTTCCTATGATGTCTATATTTAGATAAGCATATGTCTGATAATCAATGAGGACAAACGGATTCTGAGGAAGTTGATACTTTTGGTGAATAAAAGAGAAAAGCTTTTCATTGTTTATTTATTTCTCGACACCTTTTGTGATTATTAGCCTAAAAAATTGCAAGATCTGGTCTTGGAAAGTAAAGGTAGCAAGAAATGGATGAGTTTTCAGCTCAAATTGAAAGAAAATGGTTCAACTCTTTGAATCTATGGTCCATGAGTCTTCAAATCATCTAATTTGCACAATCTTTAGCAGAATGTTGATTTAAAGTCCAACACAGAAAAGTAAGTTAACTTCTTTGTCTTTGAAATCATGAAAACCATTTTCATTAAACAACCATATTCCTCGCAACATGGGGTCGATCTATGAAATTAATTAACATGAAATTAGTCTGATGATTACTCGAAATCTTCAAATTTAATAATTTCCCCTGTAAATGATTACTAAAACAGTAAATGTTTCTAAAAATAGTAAATTTACATCTTGAATTGGTGTCGTAAATTCAAACCAATTAGTGTTTATTACTCGATTGTTGATTTTGGTTCTAGACTCAAGTCATTTTCTGGATGCCTGGTAAGATGAAACAGTTGAACAATGAGCAAACCCAAAATGGTTTGTAATGAATCTTGAACAGTGGCTTCAAGATTGGTGGACATCAAGTCCTACAGAATCAAAAGAGTAAACAAAATTTAGTCTTTTATGGCGTTTTTTTACCATTTTACATTTTATAATTCAGCATTATTCGAATGTTTATTACATTTGAATGGAATTTTTCCATCCATCAATCATTATCGATCAAATATTCAAGATCTTACATAGATTTTTACAACAATAGCAAGAAAATGTCAACTTTGATAAACCTTTGGCGATATTGCTTAGCAACTAAAGTATAAATCAAGATAAATGCCCAAAGATGTGACTCTTGATAAAATTAAGGATAAATACGAATCCAGTTTATAGCATTATAATATAATTAATTGAGCTAAAAGAAGATATTAATCGAGAAAGTTATTTTTGTTGAAAGTGTAATTTTTGGCTCCTTATGTTTGATCAACTAACCTCAACATTTACTGACCATCTTCAACCATCATGTCCATCCAACAAGTCAATCCAGTTAAGGATTTTAACGATAATCAATCTGAGGAAAACTTTGAGAATAAATCAGTTGATGAATCGAGTCATAAGTTAAGCAAACGAGACTACGCTTTGATGGGAACTTATGCGTACATCAACATAATCACTGGTTCTGTTTACTCGTGTTTGGCTCCATTTTTCCCAAAAGAGGTAAACTTATTACATTAATACAAGCAAAATGTTTATTAAACAATCAAGACAGCTTTCACTGCCTCTCATGTTTAAAAATGAGAAACGAGATGACACTGAGTTTCCCAAAGTGAAGTTACTCTTTGCTTTGCTTTGCCAATGAGTAAAAAGTTGAAAATGGTTGTCAATCATTTATCTTATCTAACTTCTTGCCAACTGCCGCTTCAATGTTTCTTTTAGTCAACTCTCGAAACTGTCTCTTTGAAACTGACGACTTCAAAATGTCTAGTTGTTACCTTTTGGTTGTTTAACTGTATCTTTATTTGCAAACAAATTGAAGGGTACAAGAAGAGCTACTTTAAGATGTGATTATGTGTTTAAATATGTGTATCTACAGGGTGGCGAGAAAGTTTATGTGCTTAAGCAACGCCCATTTAATATGCGTAGAAACCAATTTTAATTTGTTTAAATCTATTACTTAACCTGTTCATATTAACCGCTCTTTCATGCGCATATTTATCCCCCTTTTACTTGCCCCTTTCCACATAAACTTTCTCGCCACCCTGTATGTATCAACACTTAAGTAAAGGGTGTAACGGATAAAAAACTACTTTTATCTCAAAAATTTTATCTTGGAAGACGAAGATGACAATGATAAAAGTCCGAAGAAAGAGAAAAGAAACGTCGAAAATTATTCCCTAAGGTCAAAACACATTTTTATCAGTGTCATCTTCGTCTCCTAGATAAAA